GGCAAGGGTTCGGCTGACCAGCCGGCGCAAAACATCGTCCGTGACCAAGCGCGCATTGGCACTTGCTAGGTCATGCGCGGCGCGTGCCAAGAGGGAAGTGCTTTCTTCGTCGTCCAGCAAGATGCGGTCGTGTTCAGCGGTGGCGCCGGACGGGCCAGGGGCTGCTCCCCGCCGCGCGCCCCGCAAATTGGACACCGAGCAGGCGCTGTTGAGGACGAGCGGGCTCGGCGGCTGGAAGGCCTGAACCCCGGGCGGTAGGGGCCTCTTGAGCGAGCGGAGCGCCCTAGCCGCGGCTGATATTTCGCTACGCAAGCGCTGGCGGTGGCTGCCGGGAGGGATAACCGATGCACTGCGGGCGGCATCTTGGAGGAGGGACGAGCACCCGCCGGAGCCGAGCGCGGCGAGCCGCTGTGACAAGTCCTCAGGCGGGATGCGCCCTTCCCCAGGCTGCCGGCGCAGCAGCGTGCGTGGCGCCAGCAGCAAACAAAAGCTTCCACCCGCGCCGCGTCGGCGCGACCTCAACCTTCGCGCCTGTGCTGGATGACCGCCGTCTGGAAGTTGTGGATACTACCCGCCCCGCGGCCGGGGGCGCTGCCGCCTGCTCGTCCTCAGCCTGGAGGAAACCTGGCTTTTGCCCACGCATTTGCGACGCGGCGCGCGGTGCTCGCAGGAGCTCGCATCGCGGCCCTTGAGGGTGTCAACTTGGAGCCAACGCGTTCGCGAAATCACTTTCGAGACACTTTCTTTTCTTCAACTACGTCCGCCGCAAGTTTTTGAAGGCTTCCGCGCCCTGCGATTTAGTCTTCGCAAGGCTTCGTTAGGAGAGGCCCTCAATTAACATTTTTTGGGCTCAGCGTGGGAAAGGCGCAGCGTGCGAGAGGCAGGATCAAGGTCAGCAAGTAGACATGCCTCATCCTGCTTCATCAGCTCAGGGGCTGCGCCAGGCAGCGCTCACGGGCGGGTATGCACAGCAGGTGGCTGGCACGGGCGCCGCGCGGCAGCTGAATCAGCCACCGATTGTCAGTGCGGCACGGCAGGGATGCGCGCCGGTTAGGACGAATGTCTGTGTGAACGCGGCTGCCGGGAGCTTGCTGAGTGGCAGGGGCCAGTCTGGGTCTTGCGCGGTCTCGGGGGCCTCAACGCCTAGCGGCTGCGCGCCACCGGCGTTCCAAGTCAGAAGCTTCCCCAAGTTGATTTGGATTCCGGCATGTGCCCGCAGATTCGCAAGTTGGATGTTGAAAAACGAGGTGCCCGACCGGGCCGCGAGAGGATGTAGACGTCATCGAAAAACGCGAGCAGGACCTCGCCTGGCAAAAGCACTGCGTGTGGCACGGGTGCTGCGCAAGCGCAAACAGGCGAGGCATCAGGGGCCCCCCTCAGGCTCGGTGAATGGGGCGAACTCGTGGCAGAGGCCAGAGGCCGCTCGCACGGCGAGCTGTCGGCGAGCGCGTCTGCCGCGCGGCCCCCCAAGAACAATATGATCGTCTTCCAAAAATCCTCCGGCAGTCTGACGGTAGCTGGGCGACAAAACCTTTGTGAGGGAACCAACGAAAAAGCTGATGCGGCCAGTGGGAGGTCCGGCTGAGGCCAATTGCTGCTTCGTTATCCGGGACGGGGCAGCAGCTCCTTTTGTTCCCGGCGCGCCTTTGAGCAATCCTGTTTCACGGCCTCACCGGAGCCGGTTGGCGCATGGCGGCTCAACGTCCACTCCGTTTTCCGGCCAGGTCGGCAAGACCCCTGCAACCTGAGGCGCCGGTCGGCAAGCGACTAGGCGTCCTACCCGCAATTCCGGCGCAAGGGGCGGTGGTGTCAGACAAACGCCATGCCAGACGAGCAGCGCAGAGGCAACAACTACAATCTTGCGCCCGATTGCCGCGGACCAGCTGGCAAGCAGGCGGAGCAAAGCGCACGGAACAGGTCGACAGCAGCAGGGCTTGGGACGCGGGGGTGAGGTCATAAAACGTCTCAAACGCGGCCTTTTCAAGGGAAGCGGCAGCAGTTGACTGGCTGTGTTTGCAGCAGCTGGCAGGGAGGCGTGGGCACCCAGGTCATGAACGTCAACGCTCAAGACGGCGGCCCGCCCGCAAACTGGAAAAAAAAACAAGCCCCCTCACCGGAACTGCCGTTTGAGCAGCTGTTTTTTTCAGATTGTTATTTTTTGTGTTTAGCCTCGGGGACTCCAACATGGCCAAGGCTCTTGCAAAAAGTCTTGACGCAAAGGTCAAGGAGAGACCCCTACGTTGAGGTCACAGAACATGTTGTTGGCGGTCACCTCGGCCGTGGCCTCACAGCGCACGCGGGCCAGCCTCGACTCCGGAGTGCACCGGACCGGGCGCGCTGCATGGTGGTCGGAAGGGTCAAGTGGGCGACGACACCAAGAAGCGGAGGCGCCGCAGCAACAGGGCGCGGAGAGGCTCAAAAAAACATCTGTGGTCAAACAAGAGCGGACCAAAGGCATTGGCTGCCACCTCTGGGTGAATTGGTTTCCGGGGTGCGTTTTGCAAAAACAAAAAATATCCGAACCAAATAACGAGCAGAGACCGATGCCGAAGCATACGGGAAGTCGGGCAGCCGCAGAGAAGGCAGCGGGACCACGGGAGCCAGGGCATGGCAGGGACAAGCGGGCAACTCCAGCCTCTCACTTGAGAGACATGCGACACTGCGAGCCACACACGGCGACCCTTCACCACAAAGCCGGAGAACACCGGCTCAGCAACAGTGAGCGCGGCTTGCCTTCGAGGAAGGGCGCGGGCCAGGCGCACGCGGCCTGGCGCGTGCCTTTCACACGTGGCAGCGAGCACGCGTTTCTGCGCAAGTGTAACAACATAGCATGAAGGGGTCGCCTTGTTCCCCGCCTTCCGCTCGCTGGAAAGATCATGGGGTGCGAACTGGGAATCATGCCAAAAACCGAAACACATAGAATTTCCGAACCAAAGGAAAACTACGGCGTTGGCCCCCAGCGCGTGGAGCATGTGACAGCCCAAACTCCAGCGACAAACAGTGCGGATCAGACTTTGTAGCGGAAGGCAGCTAATGGGCGTGAGCGCCAGCACGTGTGGACAAATTGGAAAGGCGCACAAGTTTCCTGGAGGGAGGGTGGTTGCGTCAACAACTGGGTGACCAGGCGCCACCGACAACAATGCCACGAGCCCTGCGCGCAGGCCGAAAGCCGCTGCCACGGCTGGGGGCTTTGACAACAGTTGGCTGGTGCGTCGTCCAGGACGACACCCTTGCGGTCACAAGTAGCGCCGATCAATGTTTCCGTAAGGCTCGGACGCGCAGAGTGTGGCTTGGGATGCAAGAACCCATACACAACCATCGCGCAGATCGGGATTGCAAATCCCTTCGGCACTTGGCATCCATCCCTGAGTTCCAGACTATCCAGACTCGGGTTCTGTTGAAACTGTGGGTTTTGCTTCGATGCGGCACCGGCCTTGCATTTGTGCCCGGAGGCCACCGCCAGCCTTGCGGCCTTAGCCATTCGCAGATTCTGATTTTGCAGTGCCTCTCGCTGTTGTTCCGACTCGCCGCCTGTTGCACTACACTGGCGCGGCAAGATCGGACGCCAGCCAGAAGGGCGCGGCACCGCCCAACGGGCTGCCCTTTTCTCGAGCTCGGCGTGCTCCCCCCATGCGTCAGGGCAAGCAAGAGCTTCGCGCGTGTCAAAGAAGAGTGCGTTGTTTATTCCTTGCGGACCTCATGATCGCAAGGGAAACCAAAAGACACGGTTTGGGAACTGTTGGCAGTGCTGCCAGCCAGCCTGGAGGGCGCCCTTTGCTCAGCTTTGTGGAGGTTGAACGGGGTGTCTGTTTTCAGATTTAATTGATTGCTCGCCTGAGACCTGGTCAGGTCTCTAAACCAGTCTGATGAGGATCAACACGGGCAAGTGAAAACAAGTCTTCTCCGCCAATCGCACAGCCGCCAAATCTGTCAAAATTTTGGATATCTGACGTACGCGTGCACTCAACTCAGGCCATGCAGTGAGAAGTTCCTACTTCTTGACGCCGTTCTTGCGTGACCGAATGTCACTGGATCGTGTTGTGTCCTGCAACATCGAGCTGGTTCAGCTGCGGACAGTGTGCCGAATCTTGTTTCCAACGACGTGATGGACGAATAAAAAACGAAGGAAACAGAGCGGGTGGACCTTGTCGAAAAAAAAAAAAAAAAAAAAAAAAAAAAAAAAAAAAAAAAAAAAACTGCACTGCAGCGCGATCCGGTAGAGAGTGAAAGAGCTTATGGGGAACGAGCACGAGGCGACCGCACCAAAACCGGCTGCAAGAGATGCAGGCGGGAAGGCACGATTCTGACGACTGTGCCTGCTCCTGGCCTTATGCGTTGAAGCTCAGCCAGCTACCTTACACCTCCAACACTGAGTACACTGTAACACCGTGAGGCAACATGCAACATACATTGCATGCGCGACGTGAGCACACCCTCGCACATCCATGCAGCACGCACCATGCACCACCACAGTATGCCATGGCATGGTTTTCCACAGCCGGACGCTTCGCCAAATTACGCGACGCCGCAAACTATTCATAGCGCAGCAAGCAGGCAGAAGTTCTTAGCAGGGGCATATCTCTGTGCAGTGGCAATCGCACACATTCAAGCCTATCATTTGGTGGCAAACACTAGAAGGGCTGATGAGAACTTTTCTTGCTGGGATCTGCGAGTGGGAATGAATGCTCGAAACGAAGCGATCTAGTCGCCAGTCTACTTGGTTACTTCAAGGAAAAAGCTTCGCAGCTGCAAAACGGGCCGCAAGTGCTCCTTTCATCCTTCACTCTTTACTGGGACTTTCGGGAGCGATTTCAATGCTGGATGCCAATATGGAGTAATGGTGCGCTTCGGTGCGGAAAACATGGAAAACAGTGAAGTCTGGTCACAGCACCGGGCAACGGTGCAATGGTGCGCGCGCCTCTCAGCTTTCGAAGGCCCTTGCGCATCGAGTGTGTCCCGGACTTCGCTGGACCCCATTCGAAGGCTCGAGGCTCGACTCTTTTTCGCTCTCCCACTTCAACTGTCATGTGGCTCTTGCCACGCTGCACTCGGAGTCTCTTGCCATGGGCCATGTCGGCTAGTCTCTCACGTCTCAGTTCATCTTGTCCAGCATGCCTCAGGCAACCCGTGGGCGGCAAAAGCGGCAAAAGCGGCAAGCGGCTGGGCCAGCTGGGCCAGCTGGGCCCGAGGGCTGGCCCTGGCTCGAGGCGGGCGCTTTTCAGCTGCGCGCTCGAGAGCTTCAAGAGACCCGCCAGCAGCGACATCACGGTGAATGCCTCAAGGCTAGCAACTTGTAGCCTCACAGCACACCGGAGCACATTCCGGAGCACACCGGTGAGTGAAGTGAGCGAAGGCCGCCACGCCGCCCGTGATGGCGAAGATCTGCGTGACGTAATCATACCTACGGGAAATGGGAAATACTTAGGGGAGGCGATCCAACCGTTCGAATCCCAGAGCACCAGTGGCGCTCAGCTTTGGCAACCACCACCTGCCATGCCCGAGCTCGAAATTGCTATCTGGCAGCTTGACCGCCTCCACCGGCGCCAAGTCATAGGAGAACTTCGCCTGCCAAGCCGAAGGCCCCTGGCTTGGGAATGCTTTGGCTGGAAGCCGTGCCTGCGGCGTGGTCCCCCGCTGCAAGGTGCGAACACTCCTTTGAAGTGCGAGATGTTAACGGTGGCTTCTGCTAGGACTCAACATCTTGCTGAAAAAGAATGAGATGGCTGATTTTGGCTGCATTCCCCTGCATACAACAAAGTCTGACGATAGACCCGAAGCTTTGATGCAGAAAGACGTGCCGCGGAGCCATTGGTGGGTCTGCTGGTAGCTCCGGAGGCCCGAGTCTTCGAATCTCGTGTGCACCACCTGTGAGCTCCAAATTCGAGGGCGCCGTCGCAGACGTCGCTGACGTGTGCGCCTTGATGAAGTGGCTCGGGGCCTTGTGGAACTTGTCCTCGGAGTCACACTTCGAATGTTTGGATGCTTTGGGGATTACGAAAGGGTGACCATGACTCCCAAGTCAGGCAAGCGTCCACCGTGAATGTCCGGCCATCCAAGGGGTTGACGTGACGTCGATACCTCGTGTTCGAGACTGCACGCCTCGTGCTTTCTTGGGAGAAACCATCCAGACATATGTCCAGATTCCGATTCGAGAGTTTCGAGAGCACTCGGAAGGCAGGGCTGATCTCAAGCCACGAGGCGCCTGGCACAAAGCGCCAAAGCGCCAACCGCCAAATGACATGAACAACCAGCGCCTCGCCAAAGGTCAAATGGTGCACGGTGTGCGAGACCTGCGGAGCATTGGGCAGCGCCAGATCAGAGTGCGTTCCACAAATGGTTCCATTATAGATCCTGTCTAACACGTTTCCGGCTCCAACTTAGCGCACATTGGTGAAGGCAGGGTTGATCTCTCTGTCCTTGGCATTGCCCACCTTGCAGCACGAGGCGTGGGAGGCGTGGGATGCGTGTGCGTTTCTGCATTTCTGACGGCCTGGAAGTGAAGTGTGCCTGGGACCCGAGCCTGGCATGGCGGAAGGTGTCCCGGGCCGATCCGAGCGGTCCGAGCTCCAAGCCACATCCACGAAGCCAGACACGCGGCAACCTTCTGTGAAGATGCTGTGGTACCTGGACTGCAATGCATTCAATGCAGTCAATGCATTCAATGCAGTCAATGCATCCCAGATCCAGTTCGGACAGGTCACGTTGCGCCAGTGTGCAGGTGCCGCTTTGCTACGGCAGCCTTCAGCCAGCCTGGCACGCTCGGGACCCCAAGGCCTAAGTCTTTGGCCAATGTGCAGGGGGCACGGGTCATGCCCTCCGCCGTCTTTTCACCGTTGTACCTCAGAAAAGTCGGGACTAGAGGGATCGTCACGTCGGCTTCAGGGCCAGGCTCCTCAAACTCGCCCTTCTTAGCTCCGCGGCGGTACCTCGCGACTCGCCATGTGGCGAGTAACCCTGTCTGAGGGGGCGGCACAGACGGATCGATGGGAAGAAGCGGATCATCTGGTCTCTGCATGTCTCCTGAAATCCGCCAATTTCAAATGCCAAGCAGCCCCAAACACCCCCCGAGCCTCAAAGTCCACGCAGTTCAGTCGCAGGAGATCTCAGGGTAATTCTCATGCAACAGTGCGCGTCGTGCTTGATGCAGCCAAAGCTCGCACGTTGGCTGGGCTGCCATCTGCGTCCACCGTCGCGACATTGCCCCTTAGCAGGTCTTCTGTGCACTGCGCCTGAAGTTGCAGTCCAGGCACTCGTTGACGGACTTCTCAAAGTCGAGCCAAAGAGGTGCGAAGTCACGGCAGTGGCCACACCTGCACAGTCACAAGACGGACAAGCTGCACTTGAGATCCCTTTTGACCTGGTTTAAATCGTTTAAATGGGAGTGAGTATGACATTATGAACTGACCGGCTTTGGGCAAAGAGCCAGTCTGCGTAGAAGTTGATCATTGCGAAGTCATGCGCGTCCACCACCGCCTGGAAGTCGTTGTGCCTCGAAGGGACAGAGCTGCGAGAGAAACCGATCGTGGCAAGCGGTGAGCCCCCTGAGCACTCAGCTGGAAGTGATCGCTGGATGACCCCCAGTCAGAATCCAACTCCGCGAGCTCCTGACATCCAGCAAAAGCAGGCAACATCCCCTGGCCATTCTCCCCTTGCCAGGCAACTGGTAGCTGAAACCTCCTTGATACACTGAAGACCACGGCTGCATGAGGTCAGTGATTTGGTGAAGCGTTGTCCAAACTGATCGGTCCTCCGCCGTGAAGCTTTTGCCGCTGAACTCCAACTCCAGCAGCTCTTCCTGGCACAGGCGGCTTCAAGTGACACAAAGAATGACAAGGTCAATGACAGTTCGATGAAATCGACGCGAAGAGGGACGCTCTAAGGAAAGCTTGTAAACAGCTTGATACTGGCTTCTCAACTGTCATTAATTATATTTGTTTGTAAGATCGTTGCAAACTCACATTGACATGATGCAACCGTCCGTGCCCCCCCCCCTTCCCTAACGCCACTAGACCACTAGACTGGGCGTTCGTGGAACCCCGCTCAATGTCTCGACGAGGAGTGCGATCACACAACCATGACTCGCACACATGAGCGGAGGACACTATTACTTGCTTTACACGCAGGACCATCTTGCTTTATAGGGCTTGTCGCCTTCATGACGGCTCCCCTGTGGCAATTTCGTGGGATGATGTGTTTCATGAGAGAAATGATGAGAAATGGTCAACCTCCATGGGACTCTCTGAAAACGTCCCGACAGCTTGCCGCCTCTTTGTACGGCTGCCCCTTTCGCGAGCCCTTCTGGTCCACGCCTCAGCGACGCTTCCACAACGTGCGCGTATGGGCGCCGACACGGAAAGCACAAATCAGAATGGGACAAGGAAGACAGTACTGAACTCAGTACTGCAAGGTGTAGGAGACGAGAAGTAAGCGAGGCTACTGGGACTGGAGAGTGCAGGCAGCTTCAGCTCGAGATGGCTCCTCTGAACTTGCGAAAGTTTCAATCGGTTCCCGCAATGCGGTCACAGCTTCGTAACACAAGCAGCTAACATAATTAGCGTGGTTGGCACAAGGCACAAGCAGCGCGACCGATTTGTGAGAGGCTTTAACATGACAATGTGCAACTTGCTTTTGCGCTGGCATTGTATGAATTGCGCGGGGAGGACGAAAAAATTACCCAAGAACACCACAAAAAGGTCGCTGGTATGAAAGACACCTCATATGCCACCTGTGCCTGCTCAAATCGGCAAGTTAGCTTTCGTCCTGTGCCAAGGCACGCTGCTTTTGAACGTTTCGGGTCACGTTGAAGCGCTCTGTGCCGAAAGCGTCCCACACGCCTTGGCTGCTTCGAGTATGTCGTGCACATGTTCCTGTGACGAGCCTACGGTCAAGTGCGCGCAGTCCATGTCGAGCATCGTGAGATCGAAGTTGATCTTCAAAAGCTCGTCCTGGGAAATGCAGCTTCCGCCCAGAGTCGCCCAGAGTCCGAGTCCAAGTCCTGGTTGGTGTCGACCACCTGAGTCCGAAACCCGTCAGTATTCTGCAAAATATTGAAGACCATCGGGAGACCAACCATGAGCGCTTGTCTAAACACTCCGAATGCCAAGCGGCAATACGAGATGTGGGTGTGTCCGTCAAAAAAGCGGAGGTCTGACAGGATCGCCCAGAAAACAGTCAGCAAGTCCTGCCACCATCGCACTGTGGCGTGCCTCGCAGAAAAATAAGACTGCGCAGGTGCACACAGCCAGCAGCGTCATCAACGCCCCGCTTGTGGATGCCTGAACTCCGGTCGTGAACCAAACATGTCCATATAGTCCGTGCCAATAGTCCGTGCCTCGGACAAGTCCGCCGGGACCTGCCAAGCTGTCACGCCCGAGACCCGGGGACATGCACTGCACTGCGACCGCGCCTTCCGAAAGGCGTCGTAGCTGTGATACCATGACCTACAAGTTGCAAAGCAACGCGACGCGACCACTCGGGAGATCTCGTGACTCGGGAGCTCAGGGCACAGCTTGATCGCAACCTGGGGCAACATGACCTCAGCTCCAAGAGTCGCTGGTGCTTTCTGACGCGAACCCACAGCCGGTGCTGCCAGGCTGCAAAGTTAGTCCGTGACCGGGAAGGTCATCTTGAGCCTTCGATTTTGACATCGGCAAGATTCAAATCAGGCGCGATGCTTGCCACCTCTTTGGTGCCTGAATTTCTAGTGATGCCTCACATCCTAGTGGAATTCAACAGGGTGCAAGAAGGAAGGGCGTAGTGTCCTATCGGCTCTCTCGAGTTAGTAGCACTTCAGTGGGCCGTTTGCATTGTGCAGCTTGCTTTCATAGTGACTTACTACTCGATGACGCCTACAACTGTATGACGCCGAACACCCCGATCAACGCCTGGAGTAGCTCTCAAAACGTGACTCTGGGTGGCAATTGGCAAAAATGAAATCCATGCGACGGTTGAAATTGGTTTTGCTTGCTGAGAACTGGAGGTTGTCACTTGGCAAGTGCGCCTATCATTGCACATCATTTTGTGCCGTGTTTGAGAACCCACCAAGCTTGGCGGGCGATCAGTTGGCAGGTGCTTCGTTTAATGGCATGAGCGTCAAATTTGCATCTTCACCTGATTGCCTCAGCCCTTCCCAGTCAGTGTCAAACATCCCTGTATGTTTCGTTGTCACGTCTTTATTTTTGCAGGTGTCGCCTCAAAATTGGGACGGCTGTTACCGCAACCCTGCCAACATACACTGGAAAGTCAAGAGCACCCGGACAAGTGTGCCTGTGCTCATCCGAAATTTATGTAAACATTTTCTTTCAAACAGAAGTCGTCCCGATAAGTGTGTAAAGCCTCTCTGGCCAGGTGTGAAAGCGACAGTCAGCCAAAGTGATGCCTCTGCGAGCTCAAGCGCCGGCTACTTTGGCCGGCAGGCAACCAGCGAGTTGCCCCGAGCTTGAGTCCCAGGCTGCAGACATCTCGAGAAGCAGGTGCCAAGACTCACTCCAAGCGCCGCTGCTTTTCGCTGCTTTTTCTCTGTCCACACGAAAAGTAAGAAAACAAACACAGGAGCAGTAACCGGACGTGCGGCTTGCAAATCGTAGCCGAATGGAGCGGGGCATGCTCAATGATGCATGCCTCCCCTGTGAATTAAATCGAACACACTGCTTGACTGCTTCCTGGTTCAAGCAATCCTATAGCAATCTTCTGTACAAGCCTCTGCAAACAACCCTCCCTACCATGCCTACCCCGTACACTAGTTCGCTGACATTTCTCAGCTCAGTTTCCGTGGAAGGGGAGGTCGTTACCATTTCTGGTAAATCTTTCAAAGGCAGCGCTGCCAGGAAGGCTCCAGAGCAAAGGCGCCGCTTGCGGGGGCAACCTGCACTCGCCGACCGAAAATGCTCTGAAGCGACTGATATGTTCTATGTTACTCCCATGCAAACACGCTCCGCTAGGCAACTAGGTCACAAGATCGGACTGTGCCTCCAACAGGAGCGTGCAACAAATGGCACGAGGCCTGGCACATGCACACATCCCTTGCCCCCTGCCCTCAGGCTTCCGAGGCCTCATGCCTTAGCAACGATGGGCTTGCCCACCTCCTAAGAACGGGACGGGCAAGCTCCACAGGCAAGGCCCCACCGTCCCATGGTCCCATCATGTCCCATCGTCGTCCTCAAGCTGAAAATCTGAGCAGGTCTCGCCTCGGGGCTCGGCATTCACAAGGCAAATGGCCACGCCAAACATGTTCTCAGTCACACGCTGGCGTCTGACTCGGCCAAATTCCACGCGAAGTACCTCGGCCATTTGCTGAGGCAACATCTGAGGACTTTGATTTGGGCCCTACGCAAGTTACCTCGAGAACCATCGCAAAAAGCATGTCTCCAATTTTGCGAAGGCCATTTACACTCCGCTTGCGCTGCGCTATGCTTCGCTCAAGTGCCCTGCGTCCTCTTCAACTCGTGACTGCCACTCCCAGATGACCTGGCAACTTGGCAACCCGGCAAGGAAAGCAGCAAGTCACAAAGTCGGTATGGCGGAACATGACAAGGAAGGCAAGTCGTAAACAGGCACGCGGTGCGCCACGCAGCTTTCATCGGACTCTTCCGCCTGCAAAAGAGCAACGCCCGGCCACTCGACTCGTCTTCGCTTTGGCCAGCCTCTGCATCACCTGGCCGTCTGAACGTCTTTCTTGGCCCAATGACTTGAGGCACGGGCCACTCTCCAACCAGGGGTGCTCGCTGGCAGCAGCGGCGGTCAGCCTGACACAGAAAACATAGGAACAGAACATATTTGCTTGATCTCCCGAGCATGCTGCATTGCTTCATATTGTGTCCACCCGTCGCGCAGCTTTTTCGCCCTTTCCCAGCTTTGATCGCGAGAGCAGGCAATTTAATTTGGCACGCAGCATGAGGCATATGGAAACAGTGGGATGGGTCCGATGGGTTGCCTCGAGCCAGGTTGAGCAGCGTCCAAAGCACCTCGCAGTTTAGATCCGAAAAAACACTGCGTTTTTAAGGGCTGGCAAACAGCCAGCCAAGGAGACGTGCCAACAGACCTGTGGGCGCTGATCGCCTGGCGAATGGTTTAGATATGCCTCATGCCACCCTACGTGCCCCGTCGCATCAAACAGCCTATGGCTGCAATGCTCGTGTTGTCACATCATGTCACATCCTGTCGCATCTGTGCATAAAGAGTCCGCTCCTTCAAGGTCGTCATGCAATCAGACAAACGCACGTGCCACGAAATAGGAGAACCATTCCGGTTTCCCAAGGTGGCGATCATTTGCTTATCTGCTTCCTTGAATTAAGCCAACCAAGCGGCGTTTGATATACAGAGGACATCAGCCTGCTCAGTGCGCCCGCATAAGCTTTCTCAGGAACTGAGAACACCATAAGATCTGTCAAAGGCAAAACATCAAGGCCGGGGGTAGATTCAAACAAAGCCATGCCCCATTTTGCGGCCAATGCTCTTCCATCTTCGATGGAAACAGCTTTGGGATTTGGCCTCACTTCCCTGGGCACTTCCCTGGCTTGGGGTGTTGCCAGGCTGACCAAATGCTCAAAGGCGCTGGCCGCATCTTCTCCAACCTCGAAGAAGGACATCCCAAACATCGCCGCCAACGTCTCGCCATCTTCCCGGGGCACCTTGCCACCCTGGCTCGCGATCAAGATCTTGGCGCTTGCGGTCACCTCAGCGAGCAGACTCCAACATGAGCATCGAGCACAGTAGATCAGAATAAAACTCCAATCTTGAATTCTGCCATCTGTTTGCTGAAGCGCACAGGGGAAGGGACAGCAATGAACGGGTGCCTCTCACCAAGTCATAGTTAGGCATGGTTGGTCCTAGGAAAACCTCTATGGGGTCAAGCCAAAGGTGTCGAGCGGGGACCTTTCAGTAAAGAAAAGCTGTTTCCAAACAAAACGAAACAAACAACCATGACATCATGTGCTTGATTGTCACTGCCTTTTCGCCTGCAGCAAGAACGTGAAACGTGGGGAACTTTCAGGAACCCCTCCCCCTCACCAACACCACTTTGAGCACACTGCACCAGCACTCCCAGCAACACTCTGCACAAGCACGCTGCCAACCAACACAGCAATCCGAATTAACATCAGCGCCCCTAACAGCATCTTGGTCTCTCGCAAAGCACCCACCCTGATACAAAGCTTTCGAAAAAGGTGGGCGCCTTGGCATTCTTACCGCGCGCAAGCAGGCCTGTGATGCGGGCGGCGTGAAGTTAACGTTGGCTTATTCGCAAACATTTGCACCGTTTTCCGCATAGGCGCCCCAAGCCGGAGCAGCTGCTGAAGCCAGTGCTCGATTTTCCGGAAGCTCTCCGGATCCTTGGCTTGCGCTTCTGCGCTTGCCAGGAAACGTCCCTCGCACGGAGGTGCTTCTGAAGGTGATAAACAAGCGGGCAATTTGAATGGGTGGGCATTGCACAAGAGTTCCAAGTGAAATTGTGGGCAAACAGCAACGCATCTTTTCCAGTACCTCTCAAACAGCCCCCAAACTTGCAAAGCGACCCTGAACCGCAGTGAAGCGAGCTTGCAATCAGCAAACAAACATTTTGGCAGGACTTTGCCTGCAATTTTGCAGGGCAGAAAGCTGCACCAGAGTACGGGAAATGCAGCCATCAAGGCAGTGTGGGGAATAGCTTGCTTTGCAGCTCCTCTTCAAATTTGCAACTGCTGCGCGGTTTGAAAGGCATGCGAATGCAAACAAAGAAATAAACCTGCACAACCAATGTCATCTGCTGCCTTTCTGTTGGTGAACGCCAATCTTGAAGCAGAAGTGAGGATTGCTCAAGCTATATCATCCTGATATCGAGCTGCTTGCCAAAGTAAGCAATGTCACAAAAATCAGCCTGTGAACATCTACTTTCTGCGAGTGGTGGGGAATCACTGCAACCAGATTTGCTCCAATGCGAGCAGCAATGGCGATTGGATCGACGCAATTGATGGACAAAATGGTGCATTTGTTCATCCTACGAAGGATACATCAGAAAACAACATCCCACATGCAAGACATCTTTGAGCCGCGAGCATTCGGAGTATTTTGGAGTTTCCGTTTCTCCAAGGCTCTGAGGCGTCGTAGCACAAGGCCAAGCCCTTGGCTGCCCTGACGTAGGCGGGCGCGAGCGTCTTGAAGCGGCCCTGGCCAGCAGTGTCCCAGATCTGCAGGGTCACACTCCTCACGAGTCGCGTGCAAACCCCAATTAAAAGCTTGCCCGAACTGCCGACTGCCTGTCGACCGAAGCGCGATTGTGCGGATGGGAGAGAACAAAAGCCGAACCAAGAGCTTGCTAGGTATGAGTTCCCGACAGAGTCGAAACAACAGCGTCCTGGGGTGGGTGATGACCTTTGTGCGGACGGTGAAGCCAATGGATGACAACAAGCGCAACTGGTCTGTCTCGCCTTGGATGTCTCTCACACCTGATAACATACGAAAAGTGTTTGTTGGGATGACATGGAAGCCCAACCCAAGTTGACTATGTCCTCTAGGGCAATGAACAACTACCATGTGTATATATATATATATATACCGGGTCAAAGCCATTTCGGCCGCGAACAATTTGTTTTGGCCTGTTTCGGCTGCGAACATCTCCCCCGGCCTGTTTCGGCCGCGAACACTTTGAAACGCTCAAAAGCTCCAAACTTTCGAAACGTCCCTATATACCCTATAAATCAGTGCGGGAGTTAAACTTATCTTATGCCTTCGGAATGTACGTTGTAGGTTCATTTTTGTAGATGTCGCCGATATCACGCATGCGTTATGCCTCGGCTCGAGATGGATCGATGCACATGATGTGGTCTGGACACACCGCCCTGTGGTTCAAGCCGCCATTGACAGAATGAGGAAAAGGATGTCCGTGAATAGAACGGGGGCTGAGCGCTAGGAGGCACGCAGCGCATGCGTTGACACATGCTGCGGGGCGCAGCAAGCCCAAAGACTAGAAGATGGGTGGCCCAAAAGCATTAGCAGCAGCGGCAACGTCTCCTAGCAAGTTCTCTGCGCAAGTTGCTCTGAGCACGTTCTTGGCGCGAGTTCCTCTGAGCAAGTTCTCTGCGCAAGTTTCTTTGAGCAAGTTGCTGGCGCGAGTTCTTCTGAGCAAATGGGTATGGATCCCGAGCGGCTGTGGAGCGGGCGGAACACAAACATGTCAGTGACTAGAACAAGAAATAGCCTTGCCTGCCCGACTTTGGGTGCGCAGCAACTATGTAACTTCTACGCGACGAAGTGTGGCACACCACGCGGAGGTGTTGGGGTGTTGCGGCGTGACACAAGCCCCTGAAGAAGGAAAGGCTGTGCAACGGTGTAAAGAGGGGTCTAAGTTTTCCAGCAGAGACGGCGATCAAGGGTAGTAGGTTTAAGAAGAAACTTCCGTGGCGCTGCAACAACCGCGCCAGCGATGCAGTGAAGTCCAGCTCCGCGCTTGCGGCAACTGTGGGTGGTATTGACCACCTGTTTCGCGGCCTTGTTTGCCTCCTACGCCCCTCTTGCCACCTGCGTGGTCATGATCGTTGCCAACCATCATCAGCACAAGCGCAATCAGCATGCTGTCCAGGGCAAGGAGAGCCTACCGCAACGCCAGGCCAAGCAAACAAAGCGAACAAGCAACTGGTGGCAGAATCAAATAGCGCAGGAGGAAATGTTCACTTCAATACCGTGTGAGAAGTGTGAAGGTGGCACTTAAAGATGAGATTGATCGTGTTGCGCGGCTTCAAATCTTCGACCGGCCAACCCCTTGCGCGGATTCCTGCAGGGCCCAAGACGAACTTGCTAAGCAGACTCCTCTGCTCGCAGAAAATTTCCCCCCGCTTGGTCAAGGACATTGAGGCCTCGCTCCGCAAAGGCTAGGCGCTGCCCTTCCGGGGCGGAAGGCCGTCCGGACCAAAGGCGGAATGCGCCCCAAACTCTTCCGCGCTGGCTTGGTTGCCCACGAGCTTGTGCGCCAGCTCGGGCCAGTCGATCTCTTGGAGTCAGAAACCTCATTTTGGCGCCCAGTCCAACAAGGCAACAGCCCTCGCCGGGGCCAATCGTGCCCGCTTCATCGGTAAGGCAATCTCGGGGTCAAATTCCAACTGGGTGTTGGGCACCGCCCCAAACGAAGCACGGATGTCTCGTGCGACCGCGGCCGCCCTAGCCAACGCTTTGGCGCTGGCTGCCATCTTGGATTTGCCCGGCGATGCCTCAGCGAGCAGCAAGGCGAGCGGGCAAAGCGCGCGCGCCGCAGCCGCGCCTGGCCTTGGCCCCGACCAGGAGGCCAGGCTCGGCAACGCCGCAAACCTGCGGCTTCAAAGCCAAATTTTTCAGCGCTCGGCCTCAACATCAACCTCGCCCTCTGCTCGCGCTCGATCCTCGCCAAACTCAAGCGATGGGGCCCTGAGCCGCGCCAAAAAACATTGGTTGCTTCCCCTCGCAGCAACGCGCCGCAGCGCGGAGCCGTTACAGCGCCTTGGCTTCGGCCGCGGCCAAGAGATCGGGCTCGACATCATGGGCCTGCGTTCCCAAGTCTTTGAAGCCGCGCCCTCCCGCAGCTCGCTCGGCAACTTCGGCCGGGCCGAGCCATCCGCGCGCGCCTCAGCGTCCCCAATCTTAAGAAAGCGAGCCCGAAGGTTTTTATGTCAGCCCCCGTTCCCCGGGTTTTGCTGCGCAATTTGGCCAAGTTCCACGAACACGCTGGATTGCGTCTACTGGCCGACTGCCTTCTAAACATTTGCAGAAGCAAGCGCCAACAGGCCGGGGGCCGCGCCGAACTCGTAACAAGTTCTGTCCCATGGCTCGCACCGCTGCTGCGCTCTCAACCCGGCCGTGGAAACGCACAGTCCGAAAGCCTTGAGCACATTGGCGAGCACGATGACGTCCTCCACATACTCGGGCAAATCCTCGGCGCCTTCCAGGAAACGTGGCTTGTAGACCGCCCACGCGTCCCAGGCGGCGCGGGCCTCCGCAACCCGACCGCCTCGGAGACCTTGGGCTTCCTCAGAGACAGCCGCGGGCGAGACCTTGGCCTTCTTTTTGCGACAGCATCGCCGCTTTTGCGCCCCACGCGCTTGGCGCTGCGCTCAGAACTGGGGCTTTCCGATGTACGCTTTGCCTTGGAGCCCCGCTTGTTGGTCTGGCCGGCCTTCTTTTTGGCGGCCAAGGCCGCCGAAGAAGTGGAAGAGGCCGTCTCGGCTTCGGAGACGCTTTGGGCGGACTGGCCGCGCCAAAAGCGAGCGCTTCCGGATGGCAGCGGCTCCGCTTGGCGCGGGCGCCGGCGAGGGCCGCCGCAAGAAGCCTGGCTATTGGCTTCTTGAGGAACTCGCTGAGCAGTCGGCTCCGCTCGCCCTTCTTCGGCACCTTGGCGGCCCAGTTCTCGAAGTCGGAGCCCAAGGCGGCGAGCTCCGCGCCCGCCATGCGCTGCGTAGAGTCGAGAGCCCGTGTCCGCAAATCTCACGAAATCCTTCAGGATGGCTTTGCCGCCGCTGAGTTGCTCCAGGAAGGTCTTCAGCAGCCCCTCCACTGCGTCCTCGTCGTGTGCACGGCGGCCCCCCCCCCCCGTTTTCATGCGGTCGCCCTCCGACTCCGAGAGGACGAAGTTCAAGGCAGCGGCGCCAGAGGCCAAGCTCGCCACGGCCGTGCTGACACCCAACTCCGGGCGCGCCAGGCACTGACTGTTCTCAGCCGAAAGTCTTGGCTGATAATGTTTGTGTTGGCTTGGCAATGCGGTTTCCTGTAAGGGGCGTAGCCAAGCTTCGTCGTGTCACACTCCTCGGCCTATCGGGGATTGATTGACGCAATCCCCGTTTAGAGTTTAGGGTTTAGGTCTGGCTGATGATTGTGCTGGCTTGGCCATGCTTCTTTTAGGCCTGAGCAGGGCCACACCAATGACATGCGGGCCTATGTTATTCTGACCGGGCCCAGGAACAAACCCGCTCTTCACGCACGCGCTTGCTGATGAAGACCAACTGTCATTGTTGAAAGGCATGGTTGTATCCTAGCAGTAGTTTTCAATCCTCGCTGGCCCTGGCCAGGATGGGCGCGCAAGAGTAACGGCAAACGGACTCGGAAGAGATCGGGCCGCGAGTCGGGTGTGATGAGATTTTCCCGGGTTCGCTTGGCTGGCTGATCCTGAAATTAATGGCCCAGAACGACAGAAGAGAAAGGATGTGAAAAGTGGCAACCGGCGACATTACGGAGCGCATAAGTTTAATTGGTTAAACATAGTCACGCTAAGTTTAACTTCGACGCATGATATTCAGGGTGTATACATATATTTAATTATAAGCACGACATGCGCATATAATATGTATATATATATATATATATCATTATACACACATTTATTTATGTATACATACACGTTCACACCACATTCGTCAAGCTGCTTGGTTTTGCGAACAGCATGAGGGGTTTACCCGTAAGCCCATATCTGAAGCCCATATTCGCCTCGAAAGCCAGGCTGCTGTCACCACAATAAGCTTTCAACAAGGCCTGCTTTTGCTCATTCGACTCCCCCAGCAGCAGGATCTTGACCACCTCACCCGTCACGCCTTTGTGGCTTTCTGGGCATCTGGCCATGCTTCACCTCGTTTGCGAAATCTCACAGGTCCACACCGGAACCATACGTGGCAATATCGTGGCAAGCTTTGAGGCTGGCACCATTGAAGCCCATGTGACCCATGTGTCCGGCTTGAGCTGGATGCCGTTACCAAGAGCCGACGGGTTTGGGGCGCGCCATGCGTCTCTAAAACTCGGGTTTCAAGTGGCAAGGCATCGAAGGCATCGAAGGCATCGAAGGCAAAGCTTCACATGAGTCGTTGATATTCATTCCAATGCGCAAGGCATCTCTTTATCTGGCATTTGTTCATTTGTTCAAGGGGATGAATCTCCCGCCTGGTGGCGGCCTCGCTCAGCAAGCCCCGCACCAGGCCCCGTGCCGTGGCTGGCGCCTGCCGCCACCGCTCCCCTCGAAAGAGGCATTCGCCGGTGAGGACCTCGGAAGATGTGTTCGCATGTGAGCTCGTGACTCGGAGCTGCGTCTTGTTTCGCAGTCGGGCAAGGGCGGACGGGCGGACGCTACGCGTCATTTTGGCGACCCAATGACCCAATGCACTGCGGGCATTGCAAACGCTGGGCCCCCCCGCAGGGTCCCGATGCATGGAGCGCAGGATGGTGACGTCCGAGGTCTGACAAGGCACTGACTAACTGCCTGACTCGCCAATGAGCTAAACACACATTTCGCCAGCATGGTTTTTCCTTTCATGCTTGTTGCTTGCTTGATCGCGCAGTAGCTTACGATTGGCAGCACAATTTACCCCGATCTTCCAAGAGCATGCATCAGAGCCAATTAAAACGCTTGAAGGAATGTGCAGGCAGGATGATGCCAACGACGTGGGAGTTGTCGCACAAAAAACTACAGCAGGAAGCCTTCCGCGTCAGAGGAGCAACTACTGCCTTTGCTTTTCACTTGAGCCCATGTATTTGTGTGTGACAATCGGGAAACTCTCTTTTGGACGGTGTCGAGGGTGTCTAAACGGAAATCAAGAAGAAAGTGGTGCCTAAAAAGTGTCCGCTTTGAAACCCTTCCCGGAAGCAAATGGGGAGCAGGATTTGATTCAAGCGCGACCCCCGCAACAGTCGACTCCAAGTGATTCCAGATGTGAATCTGAGATAATGAATTCTGTCTGCCAAAGAAGAAAAAGGGACGCTGCAAAGCAATACTTACACAAAAACTGCCGGGCATGCCAGACTGTGTAAAGCACATTTGACTCATGTTCCTGACATTCGCTGGCCCAAAGTGATTCCATCTGTCCCACCAACTGGTTGAGTTCGAATTCGATCTCACCCGCCTGAAAGGGCAGATGCCCGGAAACCAGAAGGAACACCACGATGCCGCAGCCTGACACAAGCCAACATCCATGGCCTCGCGGTCAAATACCTGTCCTTCACTCCCTCCCATCTGATTTGATGGCCAAGCTTGGAGACACTGCTTGCAAAATTTGCAAAACAATATTTGGAGTATCTTTGGAGTGAAAGGCTTGACGAAACCGGCTGACACTTGGGCGTTCTTCACTTGCCAAGCTGCTCCATACGTCGCAGGACTTGGTATAGACGCCGTCAAAAACCTCAGGGCAAGCTGCTTGGGACCCCCTTGGGGCCCTTGGGGCCCCAAGGGGGCCCCCAGGGGGGCCCTATTTCACATCTCGCCTCTGGCGCAACATAAAGCAGAGTGCCGGTCACCGTGTGTGCCTAACGAGCTGCAAGCCATCGCTACAAACGACCATGTGAGGTCTGGTCAAAATGTCCAGTAGTCTTGGGGGAACTCACTGTCACTCCTTTGTCCATGTCTTCTTCGGGTAAGTAATTTTGACCGTGCCCCATGTCAAGTCAACCATCAATCTTGCCTTGGGCACATCTCCGGCAACCTTCGCCCCTCCAAAGTCCAACAACTGGCGGGCGCATCACACGGTCGCACTTGAACCCAGCTTCTCTACGCGAACAGCAAAGAAGGGCTGCCCCGAATCCTGCGTGACCAGCTGGGGTCGGGATTGAAGTTCGGCCGACTGAAGATGGGCTTTGTCTTAGGCGGGTATAGGTGGGTAAGGGCATCGAATTTGGCGAATCATCCTGGTCTATGTATTGCAGCACGTTGCCTGAAACTTTCATTCCTTGTCCCGGGTTTTTGAGGGAATTCAAGCGAAAGAAGCTCAGCACGAGCAGGCAAGTGCTAAACAACAGCAGAAGGCCACTTACATGAGCCGTGCCATGAGGAAAGTCACAAACTGAAGACGTAGCTGTGCGATAGCCCCAAGTACCAAAACTGCTTCCCAAGGTTCTTTTCAGAAACTCGATTTTGCTCTCATTCGAAAGAACAGTACCATGTGATTCCGTTGCCTCTTGCCAGCTGAACCCGAAGCCATGTTCATTGAAGTCACGTGACGCAGCGGCCGCCTGGAGCACCGCTGCATCCGAGTCTTTGAATCTGAAGTTCTCCGGCTTGATGTCTCGATGCATCAGGCCTCTCCCACTCTCCATGAAACCCTTCCGGAGAAACGAAAGCGTCGTAGGTCTTATGTCTTTGACACGAGCAACTGAAGGGGACGAATTCGAACATGCCCCCGAAATCGAACGCTTTCTCTGAGGTCCATGCCATGGCGGTGAACAGCATCGATGGCAAGAAGCATCATCCTACCGAGAGAGTCTCGAGCACATCCGGAGAGAGCGTGTTTCAAGGCATGGCATCCAGCGAAACGCCGATTCCATCTGTGACTCAGGCTGTTTTCAGCTAAGCCCTCCTGGAGATATCTTTCACGGCCTGCATCTTGAGCTCTCCAACCGCCTGGACGACATGCTGAGCATGGCATGCAAACAAACATTGACAAGACATATTGCGCGACGTTCTCATTTCGCCGTTCCTACGGCAACCACAATCTGCCGACATGTCTCGGCGGAACGCGTTGGCAGAGGCAGGGCTAACATGCTCCAGGGCTTGCGGCTTGCGGCTATACGCCCGCCTCCATGTGGTCCATGAGGTCCGGCCCCAGGCATCGGCTCATCACGATGTACATTGCATCAGCAGACTGAAAAAACTGGTGGTAGCGGACGATGTTGGGATGGTGGAGCGTTCGCAACAGCCTCGCGTCCACGTCTCGCAGGGGCCCACAACAGTGATTGCCCGTCCTTTTGGACACAAACCTCAAGGCCCGAAAAACTCGCAGGACTCGCCGCATGAATCGATGTGCCTCAAAAGTTCCAGCTTCTCATCGTTAGGAAGCTTGGCGGCCTCCAGACATTTGCTTAGGAACGAGTAGAGAACCCTGAGACCACCCGTGTCCTCCCTGACCTTCAGCACACCAAAATCGATGCAATCTGTGCGCCGAGCTCTTGCTGCGTGTCGCCCACTCACTCCAACAATCTTTACCTCGGGGCATCTCATCCCGGTGAACATCGGAATAGTTCCCATGCTGCTCCCCAACTTTGGGTTGCCTGAAGGTGATCACCATTCTCTGCGGCCCAGTAGCGCAAAGATCTGTGCCGCCGTATGCTTGGCATCCGTAAACCTGATGACACCGTCGCTGCAGGCCGTCGGCTTCAAGTTGCGCCTTGCCAAAGGTTCCATGGCCGATGAGCTCGCCAAGTGTAAAGAGCGCCTGGCCAGGCGCTGCAAGAAGTGCCCGACTTGCCGACCTCTCTGCACTCTGCAAGCCTCGAAGGATGCACCTGACGGACGCATGGCACACTGGTGCCCAAGGCTTCCCATGCGAGGCCTTCTAGCTCCAGCAGCTGGCTCTGCTCCTGCTTCCGCCTCACGAGCTCTCAACACACTGCCCTGTCTTGGCAACTGCCCGAAGCTCTCTTTCAATCGTGCATTCGGGTTCCAGGTCAGATTCCAAGTAAGTGCAAGGCTCACCGCAGCAAATGGCTGGCAAGCAAGGCAGGCTAGAAACGCCTCCCAAGGTCGGAGCTGCAAATCAAAAGGAGCCCCAGTGACTATTGGAGGCGTTGCTTGGGCCCATGGGAAGCCGTGACATGCCGTGACTATCTGTTTGCTGTCTCAGAACCCATTGCCAAAAGTGCGTCAGCACACGAATTGATGGGCGAACCGAAAGTGCAGTGGCCTCGCGCACAAATTCGCAGGCCTGGCGTTCACAAATTCGCACCTCCCGCTTGCTGAATTCCCAGATTTTCAGTTGGGCCAATAGACTTGTTTGGAACACACAAACAACACACGCATCCGATGGCATCCCCAACAAGCCCTGGCCAAAGCTGCGAGCTCCCTGCCAGCCTGCAGTTCCCCAGCTGCATTCCTGCGCGGAAAATTTGATCGCCCAAGGCAGCGCAGAGGTCCGCCTTGTGAGTGACCTCACAACCCATACACCTCGGGCCACGCTCAGGCTTCCACTCCGAAGCTCCGAGATCAGAGCCGGCAGCTTAGCGCTCAGTCACCGCGAGGCAACATCCCAGGTCCGTGCGTGAGCCGGAGCTGCGAGATGCGCCACGCAGCCGCGCAAACCGGAGATCCCAATCGATCGGCGCGGGAGGGAGGATGAATTTTCAGTGGGCCGCGACCCTTTGGCTTCTGTCTCTTTGAAGAGTCAGTTTAGAGGATCCTCTCGTCTGCTTTCCACTGATATGTTGCGCTCTCCTCTGATTGGTGCAATATGGTGAAATGATTCAAAACAAACCAGCTTGAAAAAAATACTCATACTCATAAGCAATTTCTCCTCCCGTGGCTTCTCGCCTTTCACCCAGCAGTCCTTCTGGAGATTGTTTGGACCTATTTGGATTGCTTCAGTCCATAACAAGTTCAGGTGCCGGTCTTCCCAACTTGTAGCATCAACTTTACCAACTGCTCGTTCTATTTGCGTTTGGAGCAATGCATTTCCGCTCATCTCGGACCCCCTCTGCTCTCCCTTTTGACGCTAGACTTCGCATGTCCGAAGCTGGAAATCTGGCAGCCAAGCGCGAAGCGGGGCCACGAGGCCATTCAACACTGCACCGCTTCACACGGGTACCCGCACTTCCTCAGCTCCGTACTTGACGCAGCTGGACACTGCTATGCAGGGAACCCAAATAGCCTGTCTTCACTCAGGTTGCGGCATCCATCACCACCTGAGGTGCTTCGCTGCAAACACCACAATCCGATGTCCACAACAAACATTGAGGATTCCACTTCTGAAAAACAAATTCAATTGGATCCAACTCCAGTTTCGTCCGCTCAAACATCTCCCAACCGCCAGCCCAAAAACATATCCCCTGGCCTTCTGCGCGACTTTGCCACCTCATCCGCTGCGGCATCCAGCCTCGAGTCACCGAGTCACTGCTTTGCTCGGCTTTGCTCGGCTGAAAAAAGACACAAATTTTGAAGTGTGCCGACTGCCGACCTCTGTTCACCTCTCATTTCTGGTGTCGTTTTGTGTCTCCCCATTGTGTCTGCGGGAGCGTCACAGCTGAGGCGTCCACATGGCCTCCTCGTCAGGAGTCAGCTTCCAGCCATCACGACCTAGCGAAGCCAAAGGCCGAAAGATGCCGAAAGGCAAGGCTGCATCGCATCGCCCGCCTGTGCAGCTGGTCACAGCCTTCGCATTTGTCTGGGTGGTCACCTGGGAGAGGCTCTGAATCTTATCCCCCAAATGCACCGGACACATCTGCCAGATTCTGCCAGTTCGCAGGTCGATCTGAGCAGTCGGCGTCGCACAAGGGACTGGCGCCCTTGCTGACGACCCATTGCACCGCAACCTGCCGAGCGAACTAAGGAGAGAAATTCTGGATGCAACGCACAAATACGGACATATACAGACATTTGCAAAGTGGAGTGACCTTGCGCCTGGCAAAAGGAATTCACACGCCGAACACTTTTCGGAGTTCCTGAAACCTAAAATCCGTCATGTGGATAGCTTGGTCGGCCAGCGAGTGGCCTGCGTCGTGTCGATCTCTGGCTTCTCGCAGCGCGACCTGCCCAAGCCCTATGCCTCGCTGCCCGCTCACCTTCCCGCAAAGCAAGCATGCGCGTGGCGGTAAAAATAAGGGACCTTGCTTAAAGGTTGGTTGTCCCCGGTCTTTCTTTCTAAATCACCAAATGCCAGGGCCCCTCAATTCTGAGACACAGCCATGAAATCCTACCATTTTTGCAAGCAAACAAGAAGGCATGCCGTCTGCCTGAGCCCCTTGGCAACATCCTCCAGGGCTTGGTGGAGTGGGCGAAGCCTCCGGATCTCTTGCGCTCGGGTTTGAGGCGCGCCTTTTGGGCCGAAGTCAACTCTGGGCTCTGCGCGGCATGAGCTGCGACAGCGTGAAGCGCGGCACCGAGATCTCACCGCCTCAGACTGGCAACTGTTGGAATGGTCCAAATATGTCCAAATAATTCCAAATATCTGTGCTTTGTGCTTGGACATGCTGCGCTTACTCGGTTTGTGCCTTCTTCCTTGAATAAGGCAAGGAAGTGACGCCCACGCATTACATGCAAATTACATGCAATTGCCTCGATTGGGTAGAAGGGCAAGTCGATGCCAGGGCCGCTGCCAGTGGGATTGGCGGCTGTATATCGTCCAGACCTGACACTGGCGAAGTCATCTGGTCCCATTGACTGCTCTGACGTCCGACCTTGTGCTCCTTTACTGACGGAGAAACCGGCAAACAAGCCGGGCGAACGCGAGCTCGTCTGGACCCAACACGTTCGTGGCAAAGACCTGCAACGTTCCGCGATGCATCCGTGGCAAATAAGCGGAAAGCTGCGTGGGCCTGCAAGCCCTCGTCTTTGCACTCCTTCACCAATTGAACAGCCTGGACAGCGTGTCTTTGTGCGTTTGGCATGCGTGGGGCACCCATCGCACCAAACACAAACCACAATTCATGCACATCTTCCCAGATCAGCCTCGCGCTCCAGCAGGGACAGCTTTACAAAGACCTCGGCAGGCTCCACTTACACGAAAGCTCGTCATGCCTCGTTCAAAAGCAGCTGAGGTGGACACGCAGGAGAGCCTGGCACCAATCCCAGCTGCACTCGAACGCGGAAATCAGCTAAACTTGTGCACGAAACCCGTTTGCTAGTGGAAGCGTGGCGCACAGTAAGAGGTGAAGGGCAAGAACATGTCTGAGAAGTCTCCATCACCAGATACAGGTGGCCAACTCGCAACAATAAACAACTGAGCTGAGGGCAAAATTGTGACGTGGGTTCTTGGTGTTGCCCATCTTCCAAGACATGCGGTTTACGTGGCCAGTGTGAACACCTTACAGGCCCCCGTAAATCGCTTGCACAAACGTGAACGGTCTCGGAAGGAAGTTAGGGACGAGCTTGGAGGATTGAAGCTCCAAACAATTTCCTAACTCTGAATTGGCCCGCACCGATTTTGCGCCGCGCGCAGCTGCCTGTGCTCAATTTTGCAAGTGCAAACAAAAACCATCGCCGCGCGGCTTTGTGCTGGTCGCCTGTCGATGGCTTTTCGTTCGACGCGCGGCTTTGTGCTGACCGTCGTGGACGTGTAGGCCCGTTGTGGGCTTCGTGGTAGGCCCGACGTAGGCCTGTTGTGGGCTCCGCTGTGGTCCGCAGATCATGGATCGGCCCAAAAGCCAGCCAATCCTGACATCTAGCAAGCACGAACCATGTTTCTGTCAGCACAAGCCGGAACGGAACATCTATCCAGCTCACACAGAATGATTATCTTAAAGTCCTGACACAAGTTGGTATTGAAGTACCCCTCACCATTCGACTTCGATGACTCCGTTTCCGAAGCATCTCAGTTGATTCATCCTGCATTCCCCTTGGGCGAAACATATGGCCGAACACCGAACCTGAAGGCACCAAAAGGATTGAGGTCCCAGACCCCACGCGCCGCAACTGTCCCACGATTTATGCATGGGTTAAAATGCTTGTTTGTATATATGGTCAACAATCTAAAACGTCCAGGGAGAGAGCATCATCGGTGCAGGGCTAAAGAACAGCCTGCGCATGGCTAAATCGACGCTTGTACAGGAATGTTCTCAGCTCCGCAACACAGGCGAGCAACACGTCGCCCCCCGCTTCTCCAACTCCTGCACCGTGCGGCAACATGCAGCCAACATAAGGCTCAAAGCACATCCAAATGCTGCTGGGGCATGTGCCCGCATTGGCCCAACAGTCGCACTTCTTTCACATGCGTGTGTTTCCTGCATTGGTAGAACTTAGTTTTTGACGCAGCTCTTCGCCGCAGAAAATTCTTTGCGAAATGGAGCATGAGTTGCTGCTAGAAGTGTCCATCGACTGAATCAGTACTTGGCGAGCCGGCCAGAGTATGTACGTAGCCCATAGCACTGAAGTTGAACTTGAACCACCCCAAACACGCTCGTTTCTAAGCACTGGGGCTTTCCAATATCACAAAGCAGCCAATCAGTGGCTTGGCAAGCTGCCCGAAGGTGTGTTCGGTCTGATTAGGGTGGAGTCTACAACTGCGGATGGCTGGGCAGTCAAACCATAATCAGTGCCCAGCGTGATGGGCGCTTCGTGTATAAATGCAGGTCAAGCAGTGCTCAGTGTAGGGGAGTTCCATGTGGCCCCCGCCAGAAGCAAATGCAACCCAGAATGAGCTGTCCAAAAGAAACTCACACATTTTGACAATGGTTGACGCAAGTGCAAACATTCTCGGTGTTGCAGCCACGCTTGTGTCAAGGGAAGACTTCGAGTAACACGTAATCAGTCATGGCAGTTGCATCCAAACAGTGCTCGCACTGCGGGAAGCTTCGCAGCGCATAATTTACGCTGTGGTCTTTCCATCTGTTGCCCAATGAAACTTTTGGCCAGCTAAAACACGTCGCTTCGGAGCGTGCGAACGATCTTTCACGTCCTGCTTGGCCTGTCTCACAGACTTCACGTCCGCATTGGGGTGGCTCACACCAATTTTGGAGCACAGGCCTTTCCTGCACCAGGCGCAACCCTTGTAGAAAATCCTCTGCATTGGTCTCAAAAGGTCTCAAAGCTCCCTTAGGCATTCGAACGCCCCAAAACGGGAGTGAGCCATGTCCAGCCGACGGAGATCGAGGTCCAGGCTGGTAGGCCCCGACCACTGCGTCGTAGACCTGGGGTTTGCGGTGGAAACTCGCTTCAGCGCCGCGGGGAGCCGGGCCCAGAAGGGGAACTGCATCCGTCCTGGCTCTGTGGATTTTTCAAAGCTTCATAGCCATGAGCGTCAGTGCAGCGTCAGTGTGGTACCTTAAGTTCTGAACCTGGGATGACCCTCTCCTTGGCCATCGCTGTGGATGGTCAGAGTTTCGATGTAGCCCACATTCAGCCTACGCTTTCAGCCCGCTTTCAGCTTCGGCCTCGGCAACTTCATGCATCGCCCACCTCTTCATTGCCTGCTGAAGCGGGCTCAGGACCTGCACCGAAGGCATATCAAATCGGGCTGCTCGATATGCTCTGAATTGCTCCCCACCGTGAGGTGCTGCACCAGGCTCTTGTTCAGGATGTAGCCGAGTCCTAGAGCCCAACCGTATCGAGTCCAATGAATGTCCACAGATGTCCACAGATGTCCAATGTCAAGCCAGCGTTTGAGCCCCGGAAGAGCCGCCCTGAAGCTGAGGATTGGTCCCAGCGTGGGCTTCGGCGCCACCCGCACTGAGAAGCGGGGCTGGGTCTTGGTGGCATCGGCCTGACATCCGACTCAAGTCCCTCGAGTCCAACTCGAGTCCCTTGACCTCTCTCCTCCGAACTCACAAGCGGCTTCGGCCAGGTCGCCAAAAGCTGCAGCGCACCGCCATTCGCCAGCACGTCCACCAAATCCACCCCGGCCTCTAACGCGTCCCTGTAACCTCAGACTGAACCGCCACAAGTCTGCTTGCTTGCGGTGCAAGCTCTGTGCCTTGAGGGACGTCATCAAAAATCTCAGGATGCCAGTCGTTGGTGCAAATGCCAAGCCTGAAGCAGTGAATAGCACTAAGCACGCAACCTCCGGGCACTTCGCAAGGCCGCAAGGCAGATCAATCCCGTGCCGATTTGGCAAGCTTCGTCAGCTTAGGTCCCGGCTCAGTGGCCGATCGCTGCTTTTGGATCAGCTGCTGCAAGCTGCTGATATCGATGTCGCCAGGCTCCTCTCAGGAATTTGACCCAATTGATTCTCGCTCTCATTGGGGGCTATTCCTGCCACTGTATTCAAGTTCTGCCGGGAGACAGCCAATGGCTCAAGGGTTTGATCTCGGTTTGTCATGCTGAGCACTTTTGATCCCATTGTGTGCTTGGGCTCACGAATCCTCGTCTCCCGACGCTTTGCAGGAGACTCTCCTCGCTTTCGAGACCTTGGATCCAAGCCACGACAGGGGGCAAAGAAACTGAACAGGAATCACTGCCAAGATCTGCCAAGTGGGCCCGCGGCAAGCTGGCGCTTTCTTCCACCGATCTCCTGCAAAAGCGGCTGCGAGCAGTCTGAGACAGCCGGCGCTTGCCGGTCATCGAATTTTCATGCCAAGGTCCAAACATGAATTGGAAGCTCCCGGCTTCCCGCTTCCCCCGTATCCCGTTCAGCCTACGTTCCCATCCATGTCCTTGAGAGCTCGGCGCGCGGGGACCAGCACCAGCGGCAGCGCCAGCACACGGGGCGCAGCCGATCGGGGCTCGGCGGCGCTGCTGGAGCTGGACCCACCCCGGGCGGAGCTGACCTCAGCGAACGGAGTTCGATCTCTCGAAAAACTGGCGACTGGCGCACCAAATACGCGGCCTATGCGAGGTCACCTCCCGTCAGCTGCTAACTGCAGCTTTTCAGCATGTGTAATTTCTCCAAGTCTGCTCTTCTGGCAACTGCAGCTCAAAAGCTTTGACAGTACAATGCACAAGTGCACTTTGGCATTTCCAGGAGTTTGGGGAAGTTTTGGGGAAGCTGTTGTTCTTCTGTTGGGCGATAAACACCTAAACCCTAAAACCAACACACTAAGCCCTAAAGCGAGCAGACTCGACCCTAAACCAGAATCAAATTCCGAAATAGTGCTGGCCGTAACGACCCTAAACGGTGTTGACCTGTAACCCACATACTTGAACCCCCAGACGTTTTTGCCTTCAAGCAAACTCTAAACCTTGAACCATGCTCATGCTGATCCCAAACCAAACATTCAACCCTACTGTGTTGACTCTAAGCCAGCACCTAAACCCTCAAATCAAACCTCAGCCTTAAAGCGTGCTCACGCTTGATCAAAACCTCACATCCTAAAAAACACCTGCACAGCAAACCATATTGATCTTGAACGAAATTCTGCGTCTAAACCATGCTGATCCCGAGACAAAACCCAAACCCTAAACACCGAGCGAGAAGCTCTTCAGAGAGGCAGTGGACAGCCCATTGGTGCCTGGCCCCTCATAAGCCGTCCACAGCGTACACAGCGATTTGCTTCGGGATTTAGGCTGGCACTGCCGCATGTAAATCAATTAAGAGACTCATTGTGTCATGCCGCGGATGTTAGCATAGCGCTAAGCTAACACTCAGCACGTTGGTTTTCCAGACGGGCGCAAAACGAGAACCGAGCGCCAAACTAACTTTTATGCTGCCGCACTGCCGTGCATAAGTCCCATGGACCAATGGAGGCCCGCCTTTCAACGGGCTTCAGAATGGCAAAAACCAAACAGGGAGCTACAGGCCACTGAGCCAGAGCGAGAAAGAAGTTGACCGTTTGAAGGAGCTGAGAAAACGGTGCACGCGACGGCTTGGAGATTCATCGATTTGCGTCTAGGTGTCTAAGGTTTCTCCGAAATACTTCCATTTATTTCAAAACTTTACACCTTGGAAACAATCGTCAAGGCAAGCGCTGCTTTGTTCCCCTTCCTCAATGGAGAAACCAAGGGAAAAACAAAACAGAACAAACATCACAAACTCCGGCAACATGCTCAGGCTCAACCAGCGTCCCTCACATTGGCTCACCCTTGTCTCGGAATTCTGGCACAATCTCAACAATTTCAAGAGTTGCAACCACGGCACTTGGGACTTCTCGAGGTAGGTTTGGGTGTTTGGCATGTCGGCATGGGGGTTTGGGGCTTGGAACTTTCTTATTGGTTTGTTGTGCAGTGCTTGGCTGCGTGTCTCAATTCAGAGGTGTGTGCAATCAGAGCTTTGGATATTAATATGCAGAAACATAAACTCAGCGCTTCATTTAGAATTTGCCCTTGACCCTGCTTTGCTTTTGTTAAATCCTTTTTGGACACGGTCCAATCTCCACCATGCGCTCTGCACCGCACAGCTCGCATGCCGGTCACCGATGACCCCAGGCCAAGGTGCAGCTGGCCAATGCGATGCAGCGCGCGGATCTTGCGCAGGCCAAACCACAAAGGTGCCTGGCACGGTCCCACCAAGCAGACTGCGATTGTTGTCGTGGCATGGGTATTTTGCGAAACTTGGCATATTCCAGCATTGCTTGCGTGTCTTTCAGTCAGTATTTTGCGTTGCTCGACTATGTTTCAAGCTGCAGGCGACGGTCACAGACTCAGTGGCATCTTGTCTCGCAAGCAAGAAGTTGCCTCATTTCGTGTATCACTTGCATTGTCCTTGTTCCGGTGTTTCAAAATGAGGGAAACACATTTCCCTGCAAGCCGCGTTGACTCGGCGCATTTTGCGGGAAACACTGGCGGCCCCGCGCCGAAGTACGAACAACACAGGCGCCTCCCTTCCCGCAAGCTTGCCTCTTGGCAGGACTGCCGTGCTCTGACATGGCTTCATCAGCTCCACCTGGCGACCGCCCCAGCGAGACCAAGTCTCACGCCCCATAACATACTGAGCATTTTTGTAGTATAACTTCCAATCAACTTGAAACATGGATATCTCGCGTTGCACTCGCATCATTGTCTGAACAACTGTGGGTCAGAGTGCAGAATTAGTGTCGTCGGATTTCTCCTTGGAGGCAACATGCTGTATTTCATAGGGTGTTTGGGTAAATCCAGTCATTCTTGGTAGGTCGTACCTGTTTAGGGGTTAGGGTGGATTTAGGGTTGGCTGGGATATGGCACTGGCTTTGGCATTGGCTTTGGGTGGGGGTTTGGGGGTTGAGGGTGGGATTTGGGTGGTTTAGCGATGCTTAGTGCTGGTTGCAGGGCTAGTTTAGTTGGTTAGGGTTGGTTTGGGGTTGGTTTAGGTTTGGTGAAAGTATCTTTCGGTGTGTTTCGGGTGTGTTTCGGGTGTATTTCGGGGGTGGTCAGGCTGGGCTTAGGGTGTGGTGAAAAAAGGATGTGTATGATATATAATATAGATACGTAGCGTTGGTCCAGGGAGGTTGGTTTGGGGTGGGCTCAGGCCAGGCTTAGGGTTGCCTTTTTTGGTTTGGCTGGTGTTGGGTTGGAGTTCAGAGTGGGTTGTAGGATGGCCTAGGATGGGTGTGGGGTTGGCGTAAAAGCAAGCGGTGGGCGAGTTGCCCCCGCGCCTAAATCTGGCGCATTACAAACACCTGGCAGTCGAACAAGCGACTCCCCCCCCATAATTACTCGAGCCACTTTTTGATGATGCTCAGGGCGTTGCTGGTGACACAAAAGCCACTTGGCTACTGAGTCGACAGAGCGGAACAAACAAGACGCACAATCCCAAACAAAATCACCCTCCCGCCCCGCACCCGTCGCGCCTCTAAGCTCGGTTGAAAAACAGAGGCGTCCAAATTGGCTGAGCCAACAGCGGGGCAAAGGTCAAGGACAAGCGAAACAGAATGGAAGCTGAGAAAGAAAGCTTTGCAGCATACTCGGGCACACTTCTGCACGCCGCTTCAATCCGCTTCATAAGCACCTGTTGCCTAGTGTTGTGAGACGCACTAACACGCAAACCCTATTTGCAGGATGGGCTTGCACAAAGAAAAGCACCCAGGAGACTCGATCTGCAATGAGTTTCACGAGAACTCTTCGGAGCTTGCGTGCGATTTTTTGAAGACCTCTCAGTAGGGTTGGTACCTGCCACATTCGACGAGTCAACCTCTTGTTACCACAAGTCTTGCAAAGCTGCTGGCATGCCGTCAGAAAGACCGCACCTCGGATCATATCTGGGGTCTGGTTGATAGGCAGCGTAGGCGCCCGGGGGCGGACCTGAGCGGTTCGCCAGCGATCTCCTTACGCGAATTGGTCCGGCGCCTTCCGGATGCGGCGGTGGACCGTAAGGGCCTAGAATCAACGTGGAGCCAAAAAATCATGCACGCCGAATCGAATGCCCGTTGCCTAACCATTGTGGCTATGTCAAAAAACCAATACCTTCTCATAGTTTCCCTTAGAACGCGACCATAAGGAGATTCTAGTCTTGACACACAGACTCAGTACTACCTCTCCCGAAACTCCCAAGCATTGGGGCGAGCATGCACGAGCGTGCGAATGCATTTGGCTGCATTTGGGGCTGGAAGAAATCAACACCAGCACACCTGCAAGGTGAGCGTAGGGATCGCGGCTCTCCTGCGGTGACGGGGCTCTCGGTGTGTCTGGGGACCAGCCTGATCCAATTCTCCCCCAACAGCACTTGACATTTGAACGGGTACCAGTCCTCACGCCGGTACCTCTCGTGCTCCCTTTCGCGGTCGTAGCCTGTCCCAATTTGTTTGCCATTTCGGGTTCGGTCTTCAGTCGGGCCGCCACCGCCGCCACCGGCATACGGGCCATATGGATCTCTGGGATCCCTTTCCTCGGTGACACGCTCTCGGGCCATCGGATACGCTCTGAAAGCCGCTGGCCCGATAGCCAGCGTAAGGATCTGGGCCTGCGCAGAGCACAGACCCAGACCGCGCAGACCCCGCGCAGACCCCGGGCCGGACACGGAAGGACGCGGATTCGAGCTTCGCTGCACCTGGATGCCGATAAGGATCCTCCGGAGGAGGCAAGGCCATCTGCCCTAGGCGAATCAAAAGCGACACATGTGCCCGACGCAAAGCCTCGCGCGAGAGGGGAAAACGGCTGGCCTTCTCGCGGAGGGGGGGGCCTCGAGCGAAGAACACACCAGGAAAAGCACCGAAAGATACCGAGAGCGTGTGCTGAGACATTGGCGGATAGCCTCCTGAAGGCCTGGGTCGGCTGAAATAAAACGATTCATTCGTCTGATCTGATTCATCTAAATGCGAAGGACGCTAGGCCAAGCCCCCCAAAAACGATGAGAAGAATCGACCAGTCGAGTCAAGGCGGGGGCGGTGGCGGCGCCCCGTAGGGGCCTGGAGGGTATTGCGGCCTCGAAGTCAAGGCAAGCTGCGAAACTGCGACCAAGACGTTCTTTCATATCTGGTCATCAGGTATGGCATGATTGCTTTTTCTTTCACCGGAACATGGAGAAACCATCTATGGGCAGTACTTGGTTCTTGAACCATTGCGTAACCGACATGTTGACCAAGCCGCGGGTACGCCGGCGGCGGGTAGGAGGATGGAGGATAGCCAGGATAGCCTGGCAGCACCCCCGTGGATGGCCGTGGCAAGATGTGGCTGTGGGTCAAAAATAGGTGCCCAAAATGGAACCCTGGTAAATGGACCAGCGGTCCCCTGGTGGTTTAATTTGACCCATACCCATATGGCAAGAGATGGCAAGTAAACCCCTGGCTGCGTGCAGCCTACGGGCTGGCCACACCGGGCCTGGGGGTGCGCCGTAGTACCCCGGAGGCGGCCTGCACGCGCATCGCTCAACCGGTTGCCTGCCTCCGCGACTCCGTGCTGGGGCCGAGACGGATAGTAGCCACCCGGAGGCGGGTAGCCTAAGCCGCGAGGCTTGTTCCACTTCGTTAAAGACTTGGCACACTCTTGCTTAGCACATAGGTGTCCTTTTGGGGCAAATAGATGGCCCAGGTAAACACGGTAAACCAGGGCCGTCTATTTTTCCACCAAAACAACCAAAAAGGACACCTATGGCTTAGCAGAAGCGGACATGGCCTGGAGTAGCGGGGGGCATGGTCTTCTTGTGGAAGTGCCTCGCAGGCATGGGACGGGGCACTTCGTCTCGAGCAAACAGGTGCCATGGCCTTGCGATGGCACGCTTCACCAAGTCATGCCTCTCACAGTCGCAGCGTCGCAACGCGTCGCAACGTGCGGGGCAAATGACATCCGCATTGAAACGTGAAAATTTTACCCCAGTCCCCAGTCCTCTCGTCGTCGCTCATAATCTTCTTCGACTCCGAGGCTTTCTGGCAGGCTCAGGCGAACGCCTTGCCCCAGAAAACCAGTTCCGTCTTCCCGCCTTGATGTCTAGCTTTCTTCTGTGGAAGGTGATGCTGCCTGGAACCCGGACTGAACTACCATGTTTGGTTTCCTGAGTTTTTCCTGCACTGAGGGCCCTGAGGGCAGTGCTTTCCTCAAGAACGCGCATGGCACCTTCTTTGCTGGCGAAGTGCACAAAGCCCCTGGGCCGAGACTTTCTATCTGCACGGAGCTTGCAGGCGAACCAAGTACTGAATTCAGCGGCAGGATGCGGCAGGTGTCTAGTGACACTGGGGATCTGGTGAGTCATCCGCGTTTGGATTGGAACTTGGGCAACTCCAGATTGAAAAGGACTAGGCCTTCCAGCTGATTCGCTCTGGCTTCCATAAACCCCAAAATGGGTTTTCTGCCAAAGGTCAAGGCAAGCTGGGGCCAAGTCCAGTTGGCTTTGTCCCGGTAGACCAGGGTGACGAGGCCCCACTGCGAAAAGAAGTCACCAACCTCGAAGGTCGATGTCTCCGTTGACATAGACTCAGAACCGTGTCGAAGTGGCTGGATCGGACCCCCGAGGTCTTGAAAAGGGGGCCAGCCACAGTTGCCACAAGGGGAAATCCACCTGCCACATCTGCACCTCAAGATCAAACCGGCCTCCTCCTCGCCGTCCCGGTCAGAAATGCCACCCACAAAGACCTAAGCGGCAAGGCCACATGCTCGCGCTTGCACCGGGCCGGGCCGGTTGTCACCGGCCTTGCAGGGATCCTGGTCGCTCAGCATCGCGTCCTGCTTCTGCTGGATGTCATCGGCATCCTCGACACAAGGATCAACAATCACAATGGGCAGGAAAGACGGGACCGGCCGAACGTCCGAAAAAAGCAACCGCTTTTTGTGAGGCGACTATCAGTGGCTTCCAGGGCCATATGTCACAATGTCGCTTGTGACAACCGAGAGGACATCTTTCACGGTGGCGCCGCATGTGAGATGCTTGGGATGTGATCATTTCATACCATTTCTCAGCAAAACGGCTGCAACACGCCGACAAGTGCACTGCGCCTTTTTCCTCGGAGTGGCGAAACCCATGGCAAGTTGCCTCTGCACCCCTGCGGCGGCTCGACTCGACGATCCGTCATCTGGTCGCGTTCGGACATTTTAAAAGTTTCAACAAGATACTTCCAAACCGGAAACTGAGGATGCACAGGCTTTTTTGAGCCCCAAGAAGGCAAACTGCGGTCGATCCGTTTCTGGATGTCATCTGTTTCTTGAATTTGGCAGCTGATTTCTCAGCTGTCTCCGGAACATGGGAACATGGGAACATGGGAAGGGATCTGAAACCTCCTGACACATCTCTGCATCGGGAGCTGACTCGGAACTGCAGGACAAAACCAAGACCCTTGGCTTCCCGACGTCAAAGTAAACAACTCAACTCAACCCTTTGGAACATTCATGAGGACTTTGGTCCTGGCTGCAAGGACCTACAGTTGTCAAGAGGTCCTTGGACAACAGGTGAGCAGAACATACAGCACCTATCATGCGTGCCGAATGTCAAGATCCTAGGGTGATACTTTGGTACAAAGAGACCAGACTTGTCGATGCCAGACCTAAAATTGCTCACTGCGCCCAAACAGCAAGCGCTCAACCGCGAGAGAGCAATGCTTGCATATTGTCGGGAATCAAAGGAACAAAGGCGTGACCTAACTTGATGGCGTCTTTCTGCCAGCTTCACACCAAAAATCATCAGATCATGCGACAGGGGGAAAATTGAAGAGGGACGGCTGCCCCTTTGGCTGAGCTTGCTGCTCAAAACCTGCATGGAACTTGCCAAACTTTGCCCATTCGCCATCTGCCGAAGCTTCGGCAGGGCGGAAAAACTGGACGGTCCTCTTAGGCCACGCTGCGCTCGGCCCGTGGACCAACGCCGGGCCTGGGAAGTGCTGGGTGTCCACCACTGCGCAGTCTGCATCTGCGGCAAACTTGAAGGTCACGAAGGCGTACCTCGAATCCAGTTGGACCATATTAATCAAAATATATTTTCATCATATTGGATATTAATAATATACATAATCACATAATACATATGAATACAGAATACATGATATTAATGCTACCATAATTTGTATGATACCTTGCATGGGCACGGGCTGCCTCTCATGTTTTGCCATGAGTCCAGTCGCTTGAGGCAGAAACGCGAGCGCATTGACCCGAAGCTAAGTGGCTCACGGCGCCTTGTTCTTTTCCCCGTCCTGAAAACGAACACCGTGCTTGCCGCGGTCGCAAAGTGACGGCTGGGACTGGAAAACACACTGGACAGCACGCCACACATGAGCGCCCACAATAGAGCTTGATCCCTGTCTGCCCTTGTGCACAATAGGCCTTTAATCTAGGCATAAACAAAACAAAAACATCAAAAAAACAAATATGAGGAATCCTGCATCCAAGACCTTCGATGAACTCAGCATCAGGGATTTTTCTGGGACAAAGCGTGGCTCGTGCCTCTTTCATCTCGTTGGGGCAAAGGGGGTGAGCTTGGCTGCAAATCAAGCACCTTCTGACCGGTCAGCCCTTCCCACCACTCCTTGGGAGGGCAAACGTTGCAATGGACAATGTGCCCATACCTCAGCGCCATCAGAACCTAGTGCTTGACAATTCCAGGATTCAATTCTCACACAACCAGACACAAATCGACTCAAAGCATAAGTTTCAGTCTCCCTGTACTTGAGGCACCAGCCTAGCGAAGTGTTGGCCCACCTTGCGAAGGCTAGGCTGCCGGGCCTTGCCCTCAAAGAGACGGTGCAGCTGGGTCTTCTTGGAGCCGAATTCCGAATTCTCCAATGTGAAGAAGAAACATAATTAAGGCGTTCCGTGGCACCAGTTTAGCATCTGAGTTCTCATGCCGATCCATGGAATCCATGCCTCCCTATCGTCGGTCTTGTCTGGCAAACCACCGACAAACACCTGCCATCGCGCTCAAAACGGCGCCAATGCTGAACAGCTTCCAGCCTTGAGGTGCTTTCTCACCGCGAGGTCATCCTCTCGGAACCTGGGCCCATTTTCTCCGACCAAATTTTCCAAGCCCAGCGCGTCCCGGTCCTCATGAGGGCAAGCCCGCACTGCAGTTCTGACCCGCAAGGCTGCGAGAACCACGCCAGAGCATGTGACCCCCCTCAGAACTGCTCACATGTGCGTGGACCAACAAGAGTTGTGCTTCGGTGATAGCAAAACAGCGACGGCACGCGTGCACGCGCACAAACACGCACAACACGCAAACAAACAAAAGCTCTGCGTGCAGGCCGGCTCCGCCGCGAAATACAGGATGCCACAGGATTTAAATTCCAAGCCCCTTTCAACGGCATACACAAATCCAATTCTTGCTTGAGCTGAGAACCACTAGCTTTGAAAAGACGATTGACATGCTGCAAGACGCAAACGGTTCTCGAGGCATGCAACAAATACAAGACGATCTCTGTGAAAATGGAGCAGCAAACCGACAAGTATGTCCAATCATGCGGTTGTATCTGCTGCACATAACTCTTGCAAGCCAAATCACATGTCTGCCATTGTCGAGCTATGCCCGCATGTTTGCCCGAAGTTCCAAGTATGTGAACCATTTTGTGGAAGTATTTGCCAGCACGTAACCACTCAACAGCACATGTAATGGATTGTTATGGTATTGCCCGGCACTACACCAGCTACAGCAACATGTTGGAAAACGAGTTGAACCCAGGATCAAAGCCCAGCTGGGGGTTGTTCAATATTACTCTTGCTGTGAACACCCTCCAATCGCCGGCCTCTCGCGCACCAACCGCGACCACAGCGGGGCCAATCGCGGAACAAGCACGGTAACACATTATGCGTTTGCAATGAGGGGTCACCAAAGCATGTAGATGTTATCTCAATCGCGGCCCAATCGCCGGCCTTTCACGATGCAAGTTTTACCAATTGCGCAACTAACCCGCTACCTGAATACATAAATTGAAGACATGCATTTGCGGACGGCCCCCAAACAGAGCCCGGGCTATTGTCACGGATTTATTTGGCAGGATGCTGTTGTGCAGGGTGCTTTTGCGAGGATACAAGTGTGCTGTGCCAGGGTGTGGCAGTTGGAAAACGTCTTGTGGTAAAGAGAGTTCCTCGTTGTCAATAGCTTTCAGCCAGGCAAAAAGAGCAAAGCGCCGTCTGCGCCCTTCGCGGCCGATCCTTTTTCTTCTCAGTCATCCGTCTCCACTTCGGGCGCAGGCTCCGGCTGCTCCGGCTGCTCCGGCTGCTCCGTCTCCGGCGGCTCTGGCGGTGGCGCGGGCTTGGGAGGCGCCGCCTTCCTGGCCGTCGGCGTCGAGGCGGGCGCCGCGGCCGCGGCCGCTGCCGGCGCTGGAGGCGGCGCCGAAGGCGGGGCTGGCGTGGGCGCCAGCACCCACGGCGGCATGGGTTGCTCCGGCCTCCACTTCTCACTTCTCCATTCAGTATCAATTTGTATTTCTCCATTTCCCAATGACATCTAGATTTTCGCGCCTCTGCCAGGGCGGCTTTGGCGCGACTTTGGCTGTGGCACCTCCATTTCTCGCGAGCGTAGCCACAGAAACCTTTGAAACCGTGCCCATATTTGCCATGTCTAAGGCAGCAGCCCACGATGGGACCCAGAATGGGTGGAGGCCTACAGCGCAAGTCGTCCGAGTTTGATCGATTTTTCCCTCACTCTCTTTTTCCCTCTTTTGCGCGCACGCGGTCGTAATTGATCTGGCGACCTCAGCACCAGGCGCAGCTTCTGGGGCTGGAGGTGGTGGCGGCGAGCCCTGCGTCAAGGCGCCACTGAGCGGCACATCGTCGCCCGGTCACGGGCCTGCATCTCCCAGAAGCCGCGCTTCCGAGAATTCCTGAGGTCTCAGAAAAGCCAAAAGCCGTCTGACGCCTTGCAAACTCATTGACTCATCTCGATTTGACAACTCCTTCAAGCAATCAAATTGAGAAAAGCTGCTCGTCGTATCCCGCTGCGGGGAGGTCGCCGCGCCGTGGCAAGAGGAAAGTGGTGTGCCCCTGCACCTTGCGGTGCATCGTTGGGCGTCGGTCGCCTTTCTTTCAATGAACCTCTGGCAGATAGGGAAACCTCCGAGACCTTTATTGCGCTTTACGGAGGATTCTGGAACCAACGGTGCAAACACATGGCAAGTTTCACCATATTTGAGCAGCGACATGTGGCGACTGAGATGCAGGCATTTCCCCGCCAGGCGGTTGCTTTGGGCTTCCACCCCTTCTTCAACAACTCCTTCATGTCATCACATTGAGGATGGAGGTTCAGCGCAGGTCGCAGACATTTCAAGGATCAGTCCATCACGACACGCACCACCAGCGCATTCTCGTCCAGGCATTTAGTGCGACGTATCTGCGTGGCACGCCGGATTGGACAGAGCTCGGTTTGAGTGGCGCCTCAAAACTTGGAGAGAAAGGTGCCTTGTCACCGGGAGGAAGCCCAAGATATCTTGCCATAGCACCCAAGCCAGTCGGGGCTGCCTGACAAGGATTACTTGGCCCGTTTGTCAAACAAGTTGCATTGCATTCATCCCGCCTCGTTCGGCAGGGCAAAGTGCTCTCTGAAGACATCCTCCAATGCCAAGTGATAATCCGAAGTGCTGAGAAGAGCTCCAGCAGTGAAGTTGTCCTTCAAGCAGCACCAGCGATTGAAGAAGAAGTCCTGACAGCGTAAATGAACGACTGGAGTGCCATGTCGCTGATTCGGCCTGCAGCTCGTAATCCACTGATCCGCTCGCTGCACAGCGCCTACACGACTTGAGAAACTTGAGACGCTCTGGGCCGTTTTTAACTGCACAACAAGATATCTAACGGGCACCTCAATACATGAGCTCTCCCTGCCTCGGCAGCAGGCACTGGACTTCCCAGTCCCTGCACAAACGGTTCCGGGGCGTCTGCACGCGCGCATTGCACGGCAAGCGTCGCAAGGAAGGCCTGGGGCTGATGAAGAGCAAATCCTCCGGGCGCATCTCATCCAGGGAGACCTGCGACATGGCCATGGGTCACAACCCGCCCCCCGCAGTGAACATCCCAATCCCCACTAAAATAGACTAAAATGGGTGGTGCACCTATCCCAAAATGGTATTGGTTTTGAACCATGGCCATATCGGCCCCAAACGCCAAGGCGTCGTGTTGGAGTAGGCGCACCCCCACGAGCCGCGGCCTTGCAACACGAGATGTCTGGAGCACGAGCCAAGTGCACTGGCGGCAAGGCCGGAGACCCAGGTCCCAAAACCGAGGTCCGTGCAGCCAATCCAGCAAGTCCGCCAAGACATCGGTGAAGTGTAGGGCCTGAGCCGGGCTTTTCCCAACATTTGCATATGACATCATATGACATCATATGACATCATATGACATTTGCATGCTATGGGCGCTATGGGCATGCGGACTTCGGTTTGAGGCTTCCGCTGGCGGTTTCTCGGCGAAGCACTCCGCCTGGTGCGCCTTCCGCATCTCAGCGTCTTGCTGGTCCCAGGCATTTGGCCTGACGGCCCGTCGCGTCGCCCCGTCGGCCCGTCGCGGCCACGGGCCTCACGAAGCGGTGGAAGCGGCTCACCTGCCGAGCCATGCCGGCCATAGAAATGATTCCAGGAATCCGCGGGAAGAAAAGAAAGGTCCGCAGTCCAAATGCGCCCACTGCAACCCGCACCCCAAAATGCACAAAAGATCACAAAAGCCATGCGTCGAATTACATCTGACATGTGGCTGAAAGGCTGCGAGTCCTCGGCAGCGTCTTCCCAGTCCATGGCAACCAGGCAAAGCCTCAGAGCGCGTTGCAATGCGACAGGGCCGCACGGCAAAAAATCGTGGGCCCCACTCTATGAGGTCCTCCTCCGGACAGCCTGCCCCAATCGCCGAGTCATTCTTGGAAAGTAGCCAGTCACAAACTTATAAAAGATGGCCACAGAAGCTTCATGTAGCTCCGCTTGCGTCTGTACCCCCTGTACTGTTCCGCTCCAGCGGAGGACCATTTTGAAAATCATGGATCAGAAACCGCATCTCGGAAATCGCAGCTTCTTCAAGAGACCATCATGGCTGGGAAACTAACAATGACTTCGAAGCTTGAACCCTATACTGGTTGGCGGATGTTCTGCTGGGGGGAGAGTCCTCGATGTGAAGTGAGCTTTTGCATTTTGGGTAGGGGATGTTCTGCTGGGCCGGTGCTTGTTTTGTGAAGTGCTGTCATTTTGGTGATGGGCATACTGCTGCAGGTCTTGCGTTGGACCGGCCAGGATGGTTGTGAGAATGCATACCTGATAGCTTATGAAATGTAAACATTTAATTTGAAGCGAGGTTTCTGAACGTAGTTTCTGAATCAAAACCATAGTTTTGAGGGGATACTTTAGGAACAGCCATGTGTCCTTGCAGCCCACCCTACCTGCGGAGTAGCGTTTGCAACAATGCCCCTCTTGAAATAGCAGGCCACCCAGGCGTCCCGTGCACACGCCTATCCCACCTCCAGTGCGCGGAGCGGAAAGCTGGCCTCCCAAATGGAATTAATTAGACTTGTCAGGCATCCACTTTCGTGCGGTGCCGGATATTGATCACACCGCGAAGGGTTAACAAAGCCAAGCATTTCAGCGGACAACGGGTCTGGGGCCCCGCGCCAGCTTAAACCTTTTCGGGGCTCACATTGAGCCGTATTCGAGAACGTAAGACAACAATCACAACAATCACCACGTGACTTGTGAGACTTTGTGCCATCCCGACGGTGCACCCTCAGCCCTGAGCTGGAAAACCGAACCCCAGCCCCCGCCTGGAGCGGGCAAGGGGGGCCCAACTCCGCCGCAAGAGATCGCCAGGAGCAGCGGCCGGGCTTTCACCTCGGCGTCCGGGGCTTCGTTGCCAACTTGACTATACACGCGCACAACCGCAATGGCTTTTGATCCGCGTTGGTTGCAGCCTAAGATTCTCCCATACAAGTCTTTCACGCAATTTGTAAGCCCTTCCCCCTAAAACTCATATTGGCTGGGGGGGAACCATATTTTTCTATTAGGGCACTTCGGGATCAGATGAGCTCTCCAAAAGCAAGTAACTGTGTAAATGGGGTGTAGTACAAACCTTGATAGGCACAAACTCTTGGTTGCTCAGTGTAGTACCCCCCAAAACGCAAAAACATCCTAAACAAATACCCTCCTAGCCCTCCTAGTACCGGGAAAGAAAGGCAGACAGCCAGTGAAGCGTGTCCCTCGGAGTGGAGCGTGGAGCTTGGGTCCTGGACCGCCCCAATAAGGCTGGGGGCGAGAAAAGTATTCTAGTAGAATTGTGGACCCGGTCTAGGAAAAACAGTACTTATAACTTATTTGATAGGGTGCAGTCATGCTACCAAACCAGCAACCATCGACTTTGGTGCAGTCAACTACAAAGCAGCATAGCTCAACGCTCCAACGTTCAAGTAGAAGCACAGCGCATGCAAAGAAGATCAAAGAAGGGATGCGCGTCGCGCCTTGGCATCCTTCGGAGCCTTCCCCAGCCACGCTGCCTCAGTCCGGATGGGAGCCTTGGGTGCAGGGCCTGGGGCAGACCTCTCCAGGCCCGGCTCGAGAGCCCCGGCCTGTGTCTCGGCGCTGAGCGTGGCGGAGTGCAGGCCGGCCTCGCAGCTCTCTTGCTAGGCTGAAAAATGATCTGAAAGCAAACGGATCACGAAATATTTCTCAAAGGACTTGCCACGGTAAAGCATGGCTGCGCGGCTGCCCGGCCTCGCAGCCGTCCTCGTCCTCGCCGTCACGGCAAAAGCCGCAGGCGAACCAGTGGCAAAGCCCCCGCTCCTGCGGCGACACATGCTCAAGCGCGATGCGACGTGAAGAAGTAGTCTCATCTCTCACATTGGTCAAGGCTCAAGGGCTGCGAAACAAATGCAGTCTCTCAGGCCAGCATTGTTCGCCCTTTGCACTCGGGATGAGCTGTCCCGTGCCATTTTGCTGCACTGGTGAGACTCTGAGACGCGCACTGGCACGCTCAGCGGCCTAAGAGTCCTGGGAGGTATCAGAGCTCTGTGCAGGCTCAGGATGAAAAAGCTTTGCACGAAGCAGGAGACAACAGCGAACCAACGACCGCAGCAGGTGACAAATGCGACGCCAGCAACAGCATAGAACCAGCAGCGCACACGCCGGGAGGACTAGTCCTGGTTGCTCACGAGCCACATTCCAGGACAGAAAGAAGGCGAGTGCCAGTGTCACGGTGGTCGTGAGGCCTCCGAAGACACCAGCTATGATCAGGCCGCAAAAGTAGCCCACGTTGCCAGCTCCTATACATCTCCCGAAAACGTTGCAGTGGTGGTCGAAGTGCGTTACACACCTTTGGCAAATGCTGCAATGGTGCGGCTTGCGAGGAAACCCGCCCAGGAGATAAATGCGGCCGTTGCAACCTGTGGGGGCCACGTCCGGGTCTCGCCACACGAGGCATCGCACGCAGAAGCTGCGGTAGCCGTCTGGCACGTTGCCCTCCAGTGGGTGGCCCTGCTGCAGCTTCTCCTCGATGTGCTGGGGGATGGGCCAGCAGGCATCGGCGGAGCGGTGCACGATGCCAGGGTCGGCGACCATGAGCCCCACAAGGCAAACCGCTGCCAAAGAGGCGCTGGCGTAGATGCAGCCGCGGCACGCCCACTGAGCAGTCTCTGTGAGCGCGGTGAGCTCCACATCAGACGCAACTTGGGTCGTGGCCACCAACAGAATCGTGGTGCCCAGGACCACCGCGCAGCCGATGCACTCTTGGCGTTGCTGCTCCTTGCGCTGAGCCAAGGGCAGGGGAGGAAGATCCTCCAACTTGCGCATCGATTCAGTCATCTCCAACGTCTCCAGGCTCAGTCGGCAGGGTGGCCTGCTATTTCACCTAGCGTCAAGGCTCCCCATGATCAGCCTGTGCCATGGGCAAGAGCCGTGCACTCATGATGAAGCATTGATGGAGCACTCAGGAATGGTAGTGGCTCTTTGATCTCGTTGAAATCAAATCCCTTCAAGCCATTCATTAAATGCCTCAGCCTCAAGCCTGCGTTGCCTGCATCTCTGAAAGAATCTTGAGCCGATTCGCGCCGGTTTTCATACCGCAGGGGACTCAGGCTCCAAAGTTGCAGAGCTGATGACCACGCTGCGCCTCGGGAGATGCAGCTTCCTTGAAGGCCACCAGGACCTTCAGCATCGTCAGCGCCTGAGCCGCCAAGACCGAAGCAGGCGAAGCGTAGGACCGAAGCATACGGTGCCTTGGCCACGCCGGCCGGGGCGCCCCGGATGGTCACCTCCGCGCCTGGCAGCTCCGATGTGCCACTTCACCGACTTCCAGGCCTTCTCTTAGCCTTCTTTTCGCCTTCTTTTAGCATTTCACTGAGCCAGGCACCCCCGGCATTCGGCGCCAGCAAGATCTGTGTGGAAGTCCTCCAGCGCCGAGCCGTGACCGGGCGCCGGGCGAGCACTGAGTGACGTCTCCTCTGCTCGACGGTCCGGGCAGGACCCGCCTGACTGTCTGATGTCAGCAACCAGGCAGTCAAATGGCCATGGGTCAAAATCCCGTACCCCCAGTCAACATCCCAATCCCCAAAATGGACCATTGGTTTTGACCCATCGTCAGATGGCAGCTGGCAGGCAGCGATCTGAGCTCGCAGCGCCCCCAAGCTGCGCAGCTTGCTTCTTGGACACCTGCGAAGGGCCGAAGCAGGTCAAGTCTTGCGAGGCTCAGCGACCACCTGAAGTGTCTCTTGCTTTTCCTCCTCGGCCATCGCCTTGAGTCAACGTCCCGTGGCCGACCGAGGGTGCTGATTGGCCGACTCGTTTGCCAGTGACAAAGCAAGCAGTTGCATAGTTAAGGAATGACCTCATGACTTTGAGCATGCTAAACTCAGGCTCTCGAGGTTCAGCGACCAAATATCGAGGCTCAAGCGCAAGGGGCTGGCGTCACTATGCCAACTGTGTGCTCATGACAAAATGCCGACTGGCAAGTGAAGCTGTAGCGTAGTTTGAATACGGTGATCGGATACTTTTATGCAACTGTCTGAGTTGCACTGCTGGAGTCCAATGGAGCTTTTGTGTTCTGAATACCGAGTCAAGTCTGTGGATTGCATGCCTCCGCTGCAACTTGAAGGAAGTGGCGACCATGAATTGCTGCAACTTTCAATCAAATCAAGCCTGTAAAAGCGCAATGAGCACCTTTTTGCCTTGCCTTCATTGCCGCTATTGCCCTTTTTTTTGCCGGTCGCGGCGGCAGTTGCGGTTCAGCCACTTCCCAGGCGTCGTCCCTGGCCTGTGCATCGCTCACCGAGCGGGGGGACGTCTCCAGTGGCTTCGTGCGCCTTCGAAGGCTGTGAAGGTCTGCGTCGTTCCTGGCGAGACGCGGCGCCCCGGGACATGCGGCTCTTTGCCCCTTGAGTCTGGTCTTGGGGCAAAAAGTCCCAAAAAGCCGCAAAAAAGGAACGTCCAGTGGTGGCTACCTCTGGATCCCATATTGCTTGCGGGTCTTCCACGAGGCTCAACAACAGTGCCATGTTCATGCGCCATGTGTGGCTTTGAGCTCTTGTCTTCACCCATGAGAGTGAGCAGAAATGCAAAGGCACACTGCGCCGAGACAAAGGCAGCGCCCGCCCAGGCGACATTCAAGTCATCGTTGGGCACACATGGAACTGCTTACAAGAAGTGCGAAACGACTGCACCACGAGCAAGGCCAAGGCTAGTGCATTTCAGAAAGCTCAAGGCACAAGATCAGCAAAGCGTCCTCCTCCTGGTAACAGGCTGGACGCCTCCGTGTGCCGGACTTCGCCTGAATGTCTCGCCGTCACGCCGGATTGCCAAGCCAAGCCCAGCCAGACCTGTTGACTTGCCATTCTTGTTCTAGCCGGCCGCAACTTCAGCTGGTGGCTGAGTTGATTTTGGTTCCCATGTCTGGCAGTTGAACCCCTCGAGGTCGCTCTCTTGTTTGAAGGGCTACTGACTTGATGCAACTCATAAGTCATGGAACATCATAAACTGCATGCAACAAGTTTCCTCAGTATCTGCCCACCAGCGCTCAACGAAAGTCAAAGGCTGGCCCGCCTTCTCTGTACGCTGCACCTGGGCCAGGCAGCGCATCTCCACCTGGTCGACACATGCAGTCAGCAGATTAATTCCCAGACGTGGCGCACCGTTCATGAAGTCCTTGTAGATCCACCTCAGCCAGGCCCGTGCTTCCCCGAACTGAGTCACAATCAAACCCAGTACTAAAATGGTCTACCCAGAACCATGTAAGGAATTAAGAAGGCCGCAGCCATTTGTGGTTGGGATTGTCCCTTACCAACCTTCATCTACCCGGGTTCTGATTGTGTCTCAATTGAGCTTTTCTTCTTTCCTGGATTCGTTGAGCGTCGGTTTCATGGGCCCATGGGAACTAGCTCCGATTGTGCTCACACGCCAAGCCGCCATGTCAAGGGAACGCCCATCAGCGTCGAGACGGGGATCATGAGGGCGAGCCCATTGGCGATGTTGTACCTGAGATCCAAGTTGAGTGGATCGGGAAGATCTGGCAATAATTGTCGAGCGCCAAACCGTGGTTTGGCTAAAGCTTTGCTTTCCAATGCCGATTCGGTGGCTCGATTGTTACAACGAGGAATTAGGGAGCACTCGGCAGGAGCCTGCTGCGAAAAAAGCGGCATCCTAGTCTTCACCTGGCATCTGGGAAGAGCAGTGCTCCAAGATCGAGGATTCTGAGCTTGCAGCCAGGACATCGATCAGCTTGACCAGGTCAAAGGAACCTAGAGAAGGGCAAAGGGATGCAAAGGGGCAAGTGCCAGTTGAGAAGTCAATGTCAATTCGGTTCAGCCCGTGTCAGTTGTCTCAAATTCAACGTCCCTGATAGGACTCGAAGAACGCATGCAAAGGGCACACAATTACTTTCCGCAGCCAGGCCTGCATGAGGAAAGAGGTCACTCAAGCACTCAATTGAACACACGTTCCAAAGCGCAAGTGATGCTGCAAAGCGGCCATTGATCAAGCACATGAGGCCCCAGTAGCACAGCAGCTGCACGTTGAACTCCTGTGCATGACAAATGTCTTGTGGAAACGTGTCAAGACCAAGGTTGAGCATTCCTTCAAGTTGGTTCCTGGTTGGAAGTCCCTCAAATGAGCCTAGGGCCTAGCTGATGGTCCTCGCGAATGGCACAGTAGCCAACGCCGATCATGATGGCCTGAAGACTGAAAGTCACAGCTGATCCGGGATGGGAAAACTCACTCAGTGTCTGGCCATCAGGAAAGCGCCCATGATGTCTAAGAAGATCACCTGTCAGTCGACGTCGGACGTGTGTTTACCTCTGAGCTGAGGCCCACCGCACGTGCCACGCAGCAAACGCCTCGGTGACCAGGGCTGTGGCTTACGCCGCGGCTCCGGCTCAGGCGAGGGCACTGTAGACTTAGCACGAAGTACACCCAGGGCCGCCTGGGGCCGGAGGTTTCTGAGAGCGGCTAAGGCCCCTTGCCAGGCCACTCTTGCAACGTCTGTGGACAACCAGCAGCGCATTGATTCCAGTTCAGGAACACACATGTCAACATTCCGGCAATGGGGGACTCAACACGCGTTTGTGACACACACACACACACACACACGCAAACGCACCATGCGAAGGTGAAAGCAAGTTGCGCCTTGCCAGCGCATAGGCCGTCGGCGGCCCGCCCATGGGCCCCATGGATGGCATGGGGAGGATCATGGCTATGAAGTAACGACCGCAGCGGCACGACTCCGCGTTTTCTGGGTTTGCCAAACAATGATCCGGAGGTCCGGACGGGAGTCGGGTGGCTGTTCTAGAAGAAAGCAACAGCTTTGAGAAAACTCAGCGGACCATAAGCCAAAGAACATCAGCCCTTGAACCTTTCTTGCCAGGGAGTCGCGACGCTGAGGCGGGAGGCCTTGAACAACTGCGGAAGCTTCAGTTTCATCAAAACCCTGCGGTGCACTGCTCACAGCAGTTGTGCAACGATGGCATAGTCAACTTGACGTCTTGTGTTGCAGTTTTGTTTTCTCCACGAAACGAATCGATTCGAATTGGCAAGTGCGGCTCACCAAGCCGCCACGACCAAGGGCCGGTGCCGCTAAAGCCCTCATCGCGGAGTCGTGCAGCCTTCTTTGAAGGCGATTCTGAATCATTCTGAGACGAGTGCTTGGTGGACTTGCGTCGAGATTCACCAAGCAATCGAGTCAAAGCCAAAAGCCGACGGTTGACACACAAGCTTGTCAAAGAATCGCCCCACAGAACTCCTGGCAGACAACCGCACACTTGTCCAACAAACCGGGAAACTTCAGGGCTACTGGAATTTATGAAGCTGTCTTTCACATTGCACGAGTCTATTTGCATGCGGGTGAAACGCTTTGCTTTCTGGCCATGAAGCACGCATTAAGCGCATAAAAAAAGCACGTGGAAGACGAAGGCTATTCCCACCCCACTGCCCTGTATAGCGGCACCCCACCCGAACCCCACCTCCAAAGCCCCCAAAGTCCGACTTGCTGGTGCCTCGTCAGTCCTCACCCGGCAGTGTTGACTTGTGATGTCAAAGTTCGGCGAATTCCACGCTCAATCTTCCTCGGCACATGAATCAGCATCTCTTCAGATCATGTGTGTCATTTCTGTATTACTTGCCAACCGGTGGAATTTAGCATGAGTTTAGGCGTCATATCTTGTCATCGATCCGCCAAGTGTCGCTGATGGTCTGGCGCAAATGCGGCCCACCTAACCCAGGCTTTGTGGCCATCCAGCTTCCGCATGCCTGCGAGTCACAGGCGTCAACTTCATAAACTTCGTCCGCATCAATCCAAGATCACTCTGAGCCAAGAGGCGCTCGCCATTGTCAGCACGCCACACCTCGGAACTTGAGGCGCCCCTTGCGATACTTGTGGCACCGATCCCTACGTCGAGGGCGTGGCCATAGCGGTGCCATCTTTGGAGGCGGTGACGATCTCAGCGCTCGCTCTCGCAGATCTCGCTCTTTGCGAGTCATCTGCGATTCCCCTACGGTGACCCTGAGCTTTCTGCCGCTCCCCCATCTGCGGAGAATGCAGCCATACGAAGCCTTGCGCTGCAACGCCAGGCTTGCAATGCGCGGTCTGCCTTCAAGCCAAATCAAGCCGATGTGCTTTAACCAAGTTAGTACGTTGATAGTACAGAATCGCAAGACGCTGTGCCACACCATTTGGGAACAGCGTCGAAGCCAACGGAAGGGCACGTTACATCCCGCAAACAAAGGCAAACACGACCAAAAGTCAAGAACCAGCAGCTTGCCTGCCTTCTCAAACCAGAGCGACTACGGTGTTGACCGCGCGACAACATTGATCAATCTGTTGTGGGAAACCTCGATCTCTTGATCGTGACTTGGTCCCGACCATGGACGTCAAGTTGCACAAACGCTCGTGTTTGTTGCACATCTGGCTTAGTTCTTAGAGACTTGGCCTCAGAGCAGTTGGCTCCTATTGGAACCTGGTGACCTTTCAACTTTGAAACAATCCAACGCCAACAGTTCAGGCAATATGCAAACCCCCTCTTCGCCCCAAAGCTGCCGGATCCGCGCTGACAAGGAGCCAGTCTTGGTGGCCACTCAGCGTCAGCAGCGGCTGACCGGTGAACGCGCTCCAGGTCTTGGCCTTCCAACTTGAGGCGGCAGCTCGATTGGTTGAGTTCAACGCCACTCCCTCGATCCCGTGCCGGGGCACGTCTTGATGTCTGTTGTATTGTGTGATTCGGGCACGAGCCTGTGCCCAGGCAATGGGTAAGTTGGGGTAAACAAGCCACAAAAGAAAGGTTCCCCAAAAGCAAACCAATCCCCGGTCCCAAAGATCAGGGTATCCCACACACCAGAGAACAACAACCAAAAGGGAAATAAACCAAAGTAGAAAAGGATACCCGCAACCTAGATCGACGATGAGCCGCACGGGCGATCCCCACCAACCTACCCCGGGCCGAAGTCTCTTTCTCCTCCGACACGAAGGCGGTCGACGTGAGGGCCCGGCGACGCGCATCCGAGGCGCGCCGGATCCAAAACTTGAGCCAAACCACCACAGGTCGGTCACTACCGCGACGTCCCTGATGATGATATGAACCATGGCTAATCACACCCCCCTCACGAGGAGCCCGTCATATGACTGGTGGAGCGTGCCATTTACTGATAGGATTTAACTGCTCGCATGTGTCCGCAAACAGCTGGACACTACCGCCGTCAGCGGTGGAGCAAACCCACAAAGGCAGTTGCGCGACATCCCGGGCATTAAATTCCCGCCACCACCCCGAATTAATCGGGGTAACGCTGTCCAACACACCTTGTGGATAAGTCCACATGACGACACAATGTCACAACTGTTTGCATCAACAATGCAAGTAGTTCAATTCTTATCAGAAGCCATGAAACAAAGGATAACGTATGTCCATCGCCCCTGACCATGCGTACCTGAAAAATGCTTTAATTCCGCAAACCTGGGAGTATCCCCCACCAGTTTGCTTCCCCTCTCACTCACACTACTTCATGATGAGCGCGACCAGCAGCCAAGCAGCGGTACGGGAGAGACATGATCTCCGCGCCTCAGCGGTTCGGGAGGGACATCACCATCTCCGCCCGCGCCGACCATCGGAGAATGGACGCAAGCCTATCGGCCGCAATCCTCGTGACTCAGCCTATCGGCTATCGTCACGTCTCCTCCGGTCTCGTCCGCCCCGCGCACGGTCCCTATATATCACGATCCCTCTCGGATCTCCTGCGATCATCTTGCCTCCGATCCCGCTCCCGATCGAGTGAGTCATCACCACGACGATCTCGAGCATCGTCCCTCCTCCGGTCACGATCTTCGTCACGCCGCGGACGATATCTGCGCCTTCTCGACTCTCGAGAATCCCTGGTGTCCACGGTCCTAACGGACCTCCGAGAAGGACTACGGGACACATCCGAATCCCGACGACCCCTCCCGAGGCGAGAGTTCGTTACGATCTGGTTGAGAGCCTCCAACGCCGAAGCATCTTCACCATTTCTGATGAAATCTCTGACCCGCTTCCATCAGGCTCCAAAGCTGTATAAAGGACAGCTGCGGCAACAAACGGGAGCTTCGTGTAGTCGGCGATGTCGTTTGTAGCCGCAGCTGTCGTTTGCAGCAGCATATGTCGTGACCTAGCACACACAGATATATGTAGATATACTTAGACAAGAAGAATTAAATGTTCACGCTTCTGAACGCAAACGACACAATAGCAAATGCAAACGACAAGTGTGACATATGCCGTTTGCATCTCACGTCCCACGTTGCTGCAACGGTTGTATATACACATATGTGTATCAAGCATTGCTTACACACAAATTGATTGTGTCAGAAAAAAGCGCTTCTAGACGCATACGACATATGTCGGACATGTCGTTTGCGCCGGACGTGCTATTGCGCAGCACGTCCGGCGCAAACGACACGCCCAACGCTTAAGCGACACGTCCGATGCCATGCCGTTTGCTTCTAGCCCGCCTGCCTGCAGACCCAACGCTGCACAAAGGACAGCTGCGGCAACAAACGAGAGCTTCGTATCTCCGGCGATGTCGTTTGTAGTCGCAGCTGTCGTTTGTAGCAGCATATGTCGCGACGCATCGCGTACAGATCATAGCGAATTATACAATAATAAATTTGCACATGTAAACAAATCTGAAAAACGCTAATGCTTCTAAACGCAAACGACATCATGCTGCAGATGTCGTTTGCGCGGTCACATGTCGTTTACAACGTCATTTTTTGCAAACGACAAGCGCGACGTTACGCCTCTCAATCCAACGTTGTTGTCTCACTGAAAGCACAAACGCTAAAGCATTGTTCACACAAATTGGTTTTATAAGAAAAGGCGCGCTTTTAGACGCAAACGACATGATGTCGGACATGTCGTTTGCACAGATTACGACGCAAACGACATGATGTCGGACGTATCGTTCGCGCAAGCGTCGCAGATGCCGTTTGCACAGTAAACGACGCGCGCAACACCTCAAAGTCCAACGTTGTTTTAGCAGTTACACATCTGTTCTATATGAGTATGTTGAAAGATTGCAAGTACAAACGCTAAAGCATGTTTACGCACACATTTGTTTTATCAAAAATGCGCGTTTCTAGACGCAAACGACACGGCGTCGGATATGTCGTTCGCGCGTCTCGCCACTCGAAGTGGAACGCAAAGCCGATTCGCGGTCACCGTTTTAAGGACTTTCGCGAGCGGGTTGTTTTCAGAAAATGATACCTTCGGGCACCGGACAAGTGTGTTCGGCGTTTTGTTGGGCTTTTTGGGAGTGCATGTGCTTAAATTTGGCAACCGGAGCGCCAAACACACTTGTTGATTTGTTTTGCTCCTGCGCGACATAAAGCCATGAAGCCTTCGATGTTCTTTGACTCGGGGGGTCTAAAAAGTTTGGAAGGTCCAGAGCCAAACCAAAAGTGTGCATTTGAGACTGGGGTCAGTTCTTTTCGGATCCCTGAAGCCGGACCCAGGCTTATTGAAAAAAAAGGGCTGGAATACGACATTTTCAGAAACTGCTGAAATTTTCTGATTCCGGGGAGCTGGAATCAGAAAAAAACAGACAATTCTGGTTTTTCTGATTCCCGAGAGCTGAATCTTCTGAAATTGTCTGATTCCAGAGGGCTGGAATCAGAAAAAAACAGAATGACAATTCTGACTCCAAAAAGCTGAATCAGATTTTTTAGAAAATTCTGAAATTGTCTGGTTCCCGAGTGCTGAATCAGAAAATTTGTTTAAAAAAAAAACGAAAAATATGAAATTTTCTGATTCCTGAGAGTGACGAGTGACATTTTCTGAAACTGTCTGAAAAAATGGGCGGGGCCGGAATCAAACTTGTCTGATTGCGGCTCCGAAATTTACTAAAAGAACGCTCGCAACACTTATCTTTCTTGAAAAAAAACGCTCACAACACTTGTTGGCTTGAAATTTCGGGCGGCAGTCAGAAAATTCTGATTCCGGCCCCGCCCAACTTTTTGATTCAGCTCTCTGGATTCAGAAAATTTCAGAATTTTCTGTTGTTTTCTGCTTCAGCTCACTGGAGTCAGAAAGTTTCAGAATTGTCGGTTTTTTTCGATTCAGCCCTCGGGAATGAAATTTTCTGAAATGTTCAGAATTTCTAGAAAATTCTAAAGTTTTCTGATTCCGGGATTCCGGAGCTGGATTCAGAACACATTTCAGAAAACGTGTTTTTTCTGATTCCGGGGGGCTAAGACTTTCATTTTCTGGACAAAACAAGTGGGCGGGGCCGGAGTGGGAACTTTCTGATGTGGGCGCTTTTCTGAAAATCTCTGGTTCCAGCTCCCGGAATCCTAGAATCAAACAAAAATCCGGAATCAGGAAATTTCAGAATGTCTGATTCCAGCTCCCTGGGTTCAGAAAAATGAGAACTGTCTTTGATTCCAGCTCCCGGTCGGATTTGTTTGATTCCAGCTCCCGGATTCAGACAAGTTATGTTTTTCTGATTCCAGCTCCCGGTCAGATTTTGTTGATTCCAGCTCCCGGATTCAAATAATTTCGGAATTTTATGGATTTTTCAATCTGTCTATTTCCAACGGGCTCAACAAATCTGACTGGGTAAAGAGTTGCTGCTGCAGACTCACGGTCACTATGTTAAGTGTGGTTGTGTGTTGTCATCTATCGGGCACAATTTTTGCAATAAGTGTGTACGGCCTTTGTTTTTGAAGAGGGAGGCGCCATTCACACTTGTTGGGTCCAAAAACACCCCACTCACGAAAGTCCTTACACCTTTTGCCATGTGGAAATCCCCACACGGATTTACACTTGAAAGCAAAATGCCACGGGTCACCAACTAGGACGCGTGCTTCTCTCACGCACTTGCGATTGTAGGCCTCAGCTATGTCTTGTAGCATCACATCAGCTACGTTTTGTAGGCCCAACTATGTGTTGAAAAGGGCGGAGCATGCAGTGATTTGTAGAGCTCAGCCATGATTTGTAGAGCCCAGCCATGATTTGTAGGAATGCCCGAGCTCAAATATAGTGTCTGACCCCTGGACCATTACCAGAAAGTTTCCTGTCAACACAGCCCCAAAACAGACATGGTCACGGATAAAGAAAAGGGGACCTACAAATCGCGGCTGTTCTTGCCAAATCCAAATCGCGGCTGTTCTCGCCAAATCGCGGCTGTTTCTCGCCAAACCGCGGCTGCGGAAAAACAAAAACACAATTCCCACAAAGTTTCCTGTCAACACAACCCCAAAACAGACATTGTCACGGGTAAAAAAAGGGGACCTACAAATCGCGGCTGTTCTCGCCAAATCGCGGCTGTTTCTCGCCAAACCGCGGCTGCGAAAAAAACAAAAAAAACCGATTCCCACACTTTTATTTGCAAACTGAGTGTTTCTCTTATAAGGACTTTCGTGAGTGGGGTGTTTTTGGACCCAACAAGTGTGTTTTCCGATTCCCTTGTTTTTTGAGCCCAACAACTCTTCAAAAGCAAAGGCCGTACACACTTATTTCAAAACATGTGCCCGATAGATGACAACACGCAACCACACTTAACATGGGGTGACCGTGAGTCTGCAGCAGCAACTCTTTACCCAGTCAGATTTGTTGAACCCATTGGAATCAGAAACGCAAATCCAGAAAACTCCGAAAT